ATACATGCAAACTCTCAAATATATATATATATATATATATATATATATATATATATATATATATTACATGAATAAATAAATCTCTTTTTAAAAAGGTGTAACCTTTATGAAATTAAGTTAATAAATTAAAGGAGAAGAATTATAGGCAAGTAAAGATGGAATCTGCACATCATGCAGGAGACAGATTCCATAATCCAGGCAAGTCACTGGAGTTAGAGCTGCTACAGAAAAATGGGCAAGACATAGAAACAGTAAATGATGAACTACTTCAGCGATCAAAGACAAAGGAAACTGGACCAAATTCTAAAGGGCTTGAATGCTATATTTAATAGACAAAGACTTCAATGCCATTTTTTAAAGTATCTTCAGAGAATTGAAACTGTTTAAAGGATTAAAGGAAAATATAATGAAAATGACTTGCAAACTACAAAAAAGAGTAGAAATTCCTTTTTATTTTGTTTTGTTTTATTCAAGACAGGGTTTCGCTGTAGCTTTGGAGACTATCCTGGAACTAGCTCTTGTAGACCAGGCTGACCTCGAACTCACAGAGATCTGCCTACCTCTACCTCCCAAATTCTGGGATTAAAGGTGTGTGCCGCCACTATCTGGCAAGAGTGGAAATTCTAACACTGACAAGTATGATTTCCAAAGTTAAGAACCCGTGAGAGCAGGACATTATGGTAATGTACATCTGTGATCCTAGAATGTGGCAGGAGTAGCTGTAAAGTGAGACCTATTTCAAAGGTGAGGGAGAATGGTAGAGATGGAGGAGCAGGAAAGAGAGGGAAGGGGAAAAGACGGGGTGGGAGGGAAGAAAGGGGACAAAGAATCAAGTAACTGGAAACACTATTTTATCTGTTTTTTATTTTATTGATATTTATTGAGCTCTACATTTTTCTCTGCTCCCCTCCTTGCCTTCCCCCCGCTTCAATCCTCCTCCAAGGTCCCCATGTTCCCAATTTACTCAAGAGATCTTGTCATTTTCTACTTTCTACTTCCCATGTAGATTAGATCTACATAAATCTCTCTTAGTGTCCTCATTGTTGTCTAAATTCTCTGGGATTATGGTTTGTAAGCTGGCTTTCTTTGCTTTATGTTTAAAAACCACCTATGAGTGAGTACATGTGATAATTGTCTTTCTGTGTCTGGGTTACCTCACTCAAAATAATGTTTTCTAGCTCCATCCATTTTCCTGCAAAATTCAAGCTGTCGTTATTTTTTTCTGCTGTGTAGTACTCCATTGTATAAATATGCCACATTTTTCTTATCCATTCTTCAATGGATGGACATTTAGGTTGTTTCCAGGTTCTGGCTATGACAAACAAAGCTGCTATGAACATAGCTGAGCACATGTCCTTGTGGCACGATTGAGCATCCTTTGGATATATACCCAAAAGTGGTATTACTGGGTCTTGAGGAAGGTTGTTTCCTAATTTTCTGAGAAATTGCCACACTGACATCCAAAGGAGTTGTAACAGCTTGCATTCCCACCAACAATGCAGAAGTGTTCTCTTTTCCCCTGCAATCTCTCCAGCATAAGTTGTCATCAGTGTTTTTGATCTTGGCCATTCCTACAGGTTTAAGATGGACTCTCAGAGTTGTTTTGATTTGCATTTCTCTAATGACTAAAGATGTTGAACATTTCCTGAAGTGTCTTTCAGTCATTTTAGATTCCTCTGTTGAGAGTTCTCTATTTAAGTTTGTACTCCTCTTTTTTTTTTATTGGATTATGTGATCTTTTGGTGTCCAATTTCTTGAGTTCTTTGTATACTTTGGAGATCAGACTTCTGTCTGATGTGGGGTTAGTGAAAATCTTTTCCCATTCTGTAAACTGTCTTTTTGTCTTGTTAATCATGTCCTTTGCTTTACAAAGGTTTTTTAGTTTCAGGAGGTCCCATTTTATTAATTGTTTCTCTCAGTGTCTGTGCTGCTGGGGTTATATTTAGGAAGTGGTTCCCTGTGCCAATGCATTCAAGTGTACGTCCCACTTTCTCTTCTATAAGGTTCAGTGTGGCTGGCTTTATGTTGAGGTCTTTGACCCATTGGGATTTGAGTTTTGTGCATGGTGATAGTAGATATGGGTCTATTTTCATTCTGCTACATGTTGATATCCAGTTATGCCAGCACCACTTGTTAAATATGCTTTCTTGTTTCCATTTGATATTTTTTGCTTCTTTATCAAAGATCAGGTGTTCTAAGATGTGTGGATTGATATCCGGGTCTTCTATTCGGTTCCATTGGACCTCCTGTCTGTTCTTATGCCAATACCAGGCTCTTTTCAGTACTGTAGCTCTGTAGTAGAGTTTGAAGTCAGGGATTGTGATGCCTCCAGAAGTTCTTTTATTGTACAGGATTGTTTTGGCTATCCTGGGTTCTTTGCTTTTCCAAATGAAGTTGAGTACCGTTCTTTCGGGGTCTTTGAAGAATTTTGCTGGGATTTTGATGGACATTGCATTGAATGGAAACACTTTTTAAAAATCTAGTTTGAGGATCAGAGTAAAAAAGAATGGAGACAAATAACAGAGCCAGCAACTCATGAGAAAATATTAAATTTCCCACATACATCTAACATGAGCTCCAAAAGAAGGGGGCGGGGGATGAAGAAATACTAAGTGAAATACTCCCAAATTTGATGAAGAACTTTACATTATAGACCCAAGAAGTTCAACTGACATTGTTTTAAAGGTAGAAACACCAAAAAGCCAGGCATAGTGGTGAGCATGTGTGACCCCAGATGTTCAGTTCAAGGCCAGATTTTCAGTTCAAGGCCAGCTTGTCCTACATAAGACCCCCACTTCAAAACAAAACCAAAACATACAGAGAATCACTCACAGAGATGAAATCAGAGGCATGGCTGAAAGCTGCTGCCAGCAAGAAAATTCTGGAAAGTGGCAGAAAAGGACTCTTTTAGAGGAATTATAATACGATTGGTGGTTGATATATGTATATATTTCTTTTAATCAGAAAGTAACACCAAAAGTACCATGACCTTGCAAAGCCTTAGAGACTGGTCTAACTGGGATGATGGGAAATGAAGAAATGACGCACATACAGAAGAGCTCGTGGGCAATGTGCTCTGACGGAGTTATACCAACAGTAGCCAGAAGACTTGGCTCATTTATTTTATACATCTGAATCGGGGAGGAGTCGGGGCTATTGCAAACATACAGTGAACAAGAAGTGGGTTTTGCTAGACCTCTGTAGGGAGCAATTATCAGAACGCAATTCCAAATAACTGCTTTAAGGAAGCACAGTAAGCTACAATAGAATAGATTGATAAAGGAATCAGAATATCGATAAGAAGAAAACAGGAAATCCAACAAGAAATCAGATGGGAAGAGGCCCCATGAGTGAATCATCAACCCCTATTCCACCACTACAGCCACCAAGCCTGGCAGTGAACCAGTTTGGCATGTGTCACAGCTCCAATTCCCCTGCCCCCAAGACAGGATTTCTCTGTGCAGCCCTGCCTGTCTTGGAACTCCCTCTGTTGACCAGGCTGGCCTTGAACTCTAGAGATGCTGGGCTGCCTCTACTTCCTGAGTACAGGGATTAAAGGGTGTGCCACCACTGCCCGGCAGCTCCAATCTTAAAAATAAAATGACAACAACAGCAGTGGTTAAACAATCTGCTTCGTTAAAGGTGAAGAAATGAAAAAAATTCAAGGAGGGTCTGTATGAGGCGTCCTGGTTAAAAGGCCAGACAGAGGCAATCTCCCTGACAGCCCGACAGCCAGAGACGATGGAATGTAGAGAGGAGAGGCTAGAACAGGATTTCACTGTACTGCTGAGCTTCACTGCTGGTTCTGGGGAATTTAAGCAGTCAAGAACTGTGTGTTCATTACACATCATGAACATGAACAGTGAGCCTGCATGCCTACTATCAACAATCGTCTCCCTTCCTCCATGTTCGTTCAGTCACCACCTAGTTCCTAACATGTTCTTCAAAATAAATCGTTAACATTCAGAATTTTGACAAACGGAGTAAAAGCACATCACGTCTGAGCTTTAATGACGTACCTTCCCAGTTTTACGAAAATGGCACTGTGCTTTCAATTGCACCTGTCTAGATTAACCATCAGGGATAGGGTACCCAGGTGACAGGGACCATCAGCAGAATGATAACATCTCCATCTTTCTCTTATAATAAAAAGGCGAGGAATTAGGCATGGCAGGCTAAGGGGATGGGGACATCAGCTTCTCAAGACTGCTTCCTGCTTATTTGTGAACTTCCAGAGTCTTGGGAGACCTGAGAAAGCTGGGTGCTGGACACGTCCTGGGGTATCTGGTTGCTTAACTCCTGTCCAGGATTTGTGGTGTGGAACTGTCATGTCTGGTGTCTCTTGGACCTGGCGAGGTGTTGGCAGAGCAGAGGACAAGGTTAAGTTTAGGAAACCAATGAAAGATTCATGCAACTCTGGCAGATCCCCTGGTGGGAGACCTCGGTGGGTGGGAGACAGACAGATAACGCCATACAGAGAGAGCTTGAGTATGGAGTTTATTTGGTGGATATTGGAAAGGGTATAAGGGTAAAGTAATCACGGAGGGAAGAGATAAATAGAGATAGAAATAAAAGAGAGAGAGGAAGGGGGGAGAGGCTATGGTTACCCCTTCAAAAGAAGGACAGACAGAGAGAGAAGATGGAGAGAAGGTGCGAGATCACCACGATGAACTCAAGCTCAAACTATAGAGTGGAAAGACTGTTCATGTAAAACAGCTGGGCATGCTGATGTCTCCTTGTGATCACAGTGCTAGGGAGACAGGCAGGTCTGCAGAGCTCACTGGCCAGTTGGCCTAGATAGTGTGCTCCAGGCCAACAAGTCCTGTCTTCGAGTGAGGTAGGTGGCACTGCATACCTTAGGTTGCCCTCTGGCCTCTACACACATATACACACACACATACACACATACATACACACACACACACACACACACACACACACATCTATATGTATTTATGTCTTCATCACTCAATTACCTAATAGTTGTCCCCATCTTTTAGGTGTCCTAAAATACTGATGGCAAACTTCAAGGGCCACGCTCTCCCAGGGAGTTTCTTTCTGATATTTGGGCTATGGTGGTCAGTGAAGTACCCACTGAAGTACTTTCATCAAAAGGGATTGAAGAAGAACAGACTGAGCCAGCAGCAACAGCGCATTGAGATCATCGAAGGTGCAGTCAAGACTGCGTTTGCAATCATTGGTAAGAAGAGAATTTTGTCTATGGTATCTCCTCCCACACCCAGAACCTTCAACCCATTTCCTGGAAATGGAATGGATATCTTCCTAACAAGCACAACAGGGCATGATCTTAGGTGACTGTTTGTCTGTTTTATTTTACTAGCCATTGTGTATGAAGCTTTATACCAATAGCTAACAGGACCTTACATTAGTATATACCCCATGAAAAACTACCAAGTAAACCAGTTTTTGCCCTACAGAAGTTATAGAAACACAACAAATACTACGTGAAAAACAGAAAATACAAATTTAAATGGGGGGTAATTTTTTTTAAAACAAAGGAAAACACTAAATAGGATTTAGTTTAAAATAAATAATCTTTCCCCAAATAGTCTCTTTCTAGACCTAAGAGTGGTTAACAGCAACCCACTGTCATACCTCCCACCCAGGAGTAGCAAGCATTTACTAGGAAGGTTACCCTCAAGGAGGCCAACAAGGCAGGCAACAGAAAGGTTGAGAAGTCCTCAGAGGTCTGTGAAGGATTTTAACCCTGCTTCTTTCTCACCAAATCCCCCACTACCACTCTGCAGCAGGCTCCAGGGACCGGCAGTAACAACAGTAGCAAGTTGTAGCTCCTGGAGCTACACCTGCTGGGGGCACTGGCGAGCTGATCCCCAAGATCCATCTGCAGCTTGTCCTTGGCCTACCATTGTCTGGCCGTGAAGCTTTGATACTAACCCCTCCTGCAAGCCAGATGTAGCCAGGACTTCTTGCAGGCATCAACAGCTCTGTGTGGAGCTAATGGTGAGGAAAACACACTGCCCTTTCATAAAGAAGAAAAAAAAACGACATTTTATCTGCCCTCCTGAGTGGGTGAAAGTGACATTTGTTCAGCACCGCTCTAGGGCTCTTGCCAGATGCCAGCAAGTCACTGTTCTGAGCACACACAGTCCCCACTTCACAGGTCTCCTGTTCTATTATCGGTGGCACTTTCCTGGACCATTTCACTAACCTCCTGATCCCTTACAGGCGAATGCAAATTTGAGCCACTTCCAGGCTTCCTCCAAAATATTTTGGACACCAAGCATAAAGGCAAATCTGCCTTCTAAACATGATAGAAGGTAGAAGGGACAAAAGCCATGAGTGGTACAGGCAATCCCTGCACTTGACAGAGTCAACAGGATGGCAAGTTTAGGGCCACCAGGGCTTGCCAGTGAGAGAGAAAGAGAAGAAACCCCAAAGTATAGCTTCTTCAGTCTGGCTTCACTTCTCTCTCTTTAGGCACCGTGGCTGGAAACTGTGAGGCCTCACAGGCTCAACCGTGTTTTAAACACAGGGCTGTGGTGAGGAAGGGTACCCACTCTATGGCAGCCCCAGCACATACCCTCTCAGGTCTGCACATCGGACACCACTGTGACTTCTGTTCCGTGTCCCTTCAGCCTCATCCTCTCTTGGATCTGCCTGGCTCACTGATGTCCAAAGATTGCAGCAGGCCTTCTTTTGGACCACCGACCAGCTCCCAGATAATGACGCAGAGACTTATTACTTATGAATGCTCAGTCTTAGCTTATGCTTGCCCCACAGCTCTTATAACTTAATTTAACCCGTTTCTCTTCAGCTACTTTTCCCTCAGGGATCTTTTACCTTTCTTTCTTTCTGTATGTCCAAGTCCGAGTCTGCTGGCTGGCGGCTGCCTTTTCTCCCTCGTTCTCTTCTCCCTTCTTAAACCTAGATTTCTCCTCCTTATTCTCTCTGCCCACCAACCCCACCTATCTCCTACCCCTCTACTGCCTAGCTATTGGCTGCTCAGCTTTTTGTTAGAGCAATCGGGTGCCTTAGGTAGGCAAGGTAGAACAGCAACACATCTTCATAGTTAAACAAATGCAGCATAAACAAATATAATACATCTTTGCTCTTCCACAACAGAAGAGCAATGTCTCAGTCACAATGCTGTTATCTCTGCTGAGGAACTCCCTGGGGACCAGTATGTTCTATTTCTGTCCTTGTGTCTCCAACCTCAAACCCTGAAGGAGCACCCAGGGCCAGATGTTTCCATCGGCTCCTCAGAGAAATTTTCTCTGGCTGTAGTTTTGCAGTCAGTCCGCTGACCTTTGTCCACTATCACCCATATCTGGACCTGGCTCATGTCTTCCGGCAACTTCTGCTATCTCCTGTTTGTCTTGTTGACACCTTTGCCATCACCTTTTTTATTTTTACTTCCTGGCAGGGATCCTGGCCGAGCAGTTTGTTCCAGATGGGCCTCACCTCCACCTCTACCATGAGAATCAATGGACAAAGCTCATGAATTGGCAGCACAGCACCATGTACCTGTTCTTTGGTGTCTCAGGAATCATTGACATGCTCACCTACCTTTACTTCAACACTGTGCCCCTGGGGGTGGACAGGCTGGTTTTGGCTATGGCAGTATTCAGTGAAGGTAACTTGGAGACATGGGGAAGAAAGATGGACAAGTTGAATTTGTATCCAAATTTAAAATATTAACATATGACCTTCCTCAGAAAAATCAATCCTCAAGACATTATATGTGCGTATATGTGTTCCCCCGTTCATCCAACTGCTTACAACCCAGCACCACAGCTGACCTACTACATGCACTCTGGATTGCTTGTCATGGAGTCTGCAGACAGACACATTCTTTTATATTCTCAAGAGACCCACAAAACTAGCCGTCTGCATGTGCTTGCTGTCAGTGCTCATGTCAGCTGGCTTCCTGAATGCTGAAGAATCTTGATTTGAGACAAGTATTGGGGGGAAAAATTCCAATAATTGGGAAAAGCTAGAGTGAACCCTCTTAACTAGAAACAAGCAAGTTTCTGATGGCTGTCATTGGTTTGCAACAGGTTTTCTCTTCTATTTCCACGTCCACAACCGACCTCCACTGGACCAGCACATCCATTCGCTTCTGCTGTTTGGTTTGTTTGGAGGGAGTATCAGTATCTCTTTAGAGGTGATCTTTCGGGATAATATTGTGCTGGAGCTTTTCCGAACCAGTCTCCTCATTCTTCAAGGAACCTGGTTCTGGCAGGTATCATTCAAGCTCCTCATATGGTCTGGGTTGAGAAGTCCCCTTGGAAATGCCCAAGAAAAGTCCCCAAGTGATTTGTCTGAAAATGCAGCAGATACAGTAGGGGTATAGGGGAGTGAGGGCATGGTGTCTGGTCTAGGTGACCTTTTAATCCCCACACCACCCCTTGACCTATGCAATTTTTCTCCACCAATAGCTTTCTGGCACTCTGTATTTACTAGAGTACTCATATAAAATGAAAGCCCTAAAGTTTAGCTATTTTTAAATCATCCTATGAAGCAATCAGACTTTGTGCAGGACCTGTGACATAGCGTAGAACACATGGAGACCACTGGGCTGCTTCTTAGACAATCAACCAGAAACTCTCTCCTCTATTCCTCCAGATTGGATTTGTCCTGTTCCCCCCATTTGGAACACCAGAATGGGACCAGAAAGACATGGACAATATCATGTTTATCACCATGTGCTTCTGCTGGCACTATTTGGTTGCCCTTTGCATCACGGCCATCAACTTCTCTCTTGTTTACTGGTATGTTAAAACCAATGCTGTCAAATTTCTCCCCCTAACCAGGCTCTAAGTGTTGGTGGTTCACTCCTACTACTTAGTTACTGCCAACTTTATGCTGAACTCTGTATGAGGTACTCTTCATTTGTAGGGCAATTACCACAATTCTTACTTGCCAGAGAGTGTAAGGAGGCTCAGCTATGTTAAACAGGCTGACTAGGGCATGCTAAATCTAGGTTTCAAGTACAGTTCAGACTTTTGGGGAAAAAAAAAAAAAACAACAACAAAAAACCTCTCTGTAGCTTTAGAGCCTGTCCTGGAATTCGCTCTGTAGACCGGCTAGCCTCGAACTCACAGAGATCCGCCTGCCTTTGCCTCCCGAGTGCTGGGACTAAAGGCATGCACCACCACTGCCTGCTTTCCTGGCCTCAAACAGATTTTAAGCTGGTACATAATAGGAAAATCCTCAAACCAGCAATCTGTCTGGGTTGATGTCCCTCCTGTCACTGGTTTGGTGGATCCATCACCTATGTTCAAACTTGTTTTGCTTACTTCCCAAATATACAGACATCAAAATACGTCTAAGAGCAGAAAGTGCTTTCTAATTACCTTTTAACATAATATAGACTATAAGAACTACTGGCTGCCTGCACTTACTGCCCCAGGCACCACATGTTAACTCCTTTAACCCTCATCACTTTATTATGTAGCTTCATTTGTTTTTAACAAACGGGGAAACAAGGCTATAAAGCCTGAGTAATCTGACCAACTACTAAATGGAAAACTAAAATTTGGCATGTGTTATTATGGAGATCTGTTGCTGTGGAAGCTGCCTCTGCCTTCCCCCGCCCCAAGTCTTATTTCCCCTAGACTAAAGGAGATATATACTTCATCCAGGAAGAACCCCAGGCCAAAAAAAAAAAAAAAAAAAAAAAAAAGTTTCCTCCAGCTCTACTTTCTTGTCAGTAAAATAGATGACAAGAGGGAGGCCTAAATCTAGTCTCAATAATAATAATGTTTTGGTTACCAGTTGATTTTTTCTCTTCTGTAAATAGAATCCTGGAAGTGAAGTGTGTAGATGTGCTATAACCATGTTTAATAGATACCTAAAGAAAGGCTCTGTCATTCTCTTACATCATGGAGTTAGTGAACAGAGGACTTAAGGCTAATTCAATGGTTCTTATGTCTGCTGCAGCTTTCTGACTAGGGTGAAGAGACATGCAGAAGGAGAAATCATTGGGATTCAGAAGCTGACATCATCAGATCACACTTACCAGTCAGCCCTTTTGAGTGGCTCAGATGAGGAGTGACATCAGGCCTTGGGGAAGTGGAGAGAGACCTCATCCTTTGTCAACAATAGCTGGAACAAAAGCAGCTTGTCCCCTCTATTTAAGGTTCGCCCTACTGTGCTCTTAGGGCTCCATATTTGCATTCCTCATCTAACACAGAGTTAGAGACTCAAATACAGGAAATTGGACCTCAGGTGTTTATGTACCATGCTACTTGGATTTTTACACATAATTTAACTTATAAAGTCCATATTAGAGTAATACTATTATAGACCTTTCAGTAGCAAGCCTGTTCTTGTAGAGGAACTGCTCTAGGACTCTGAACACCTACAACAGGAAGTGACCGTGTGGATGAAATAACCCATCAATCTAACAAGCCAGCACATGCTGCTTCTGATAACTTGCCCCTCTTCTCTCAATCACGCAGGTACTTTCTTCTCAAAAATATATTGAGACTTAAGTGATCGACAATGCATTGCCTTCAGTTCAGAGCCAAAATTCTAACACGTTTGTTAAATAATAAAGAAACTCGCAAGCTTTGGTATTTTAAGTGCTGACTTTTGAAACATTCTCTAGTAAGTCATCCCAGAGCACTACCTTTTGGCCTTGATCGGAGACTAAATTAGGTGAAAGATGATTTTCTTCAATCAAAAGGAGCTAGTTGACAACTCAGCTGAGAACTCAAAGTCCTGATTCCTCAACATTATCCTATTGACGAACATTATATAGCAAGTCTGTAGCTCCTAGATACAGAGGGGAAAATCAGATTATGAAAAGGCCTCCAATTTTAAAACAGCTAAAACCAAAGGGTAAGAATTTTGAATTTTTTTATATAGACTTGATTCTGTACCATTGATTCTGGACATGTTGTTTTGTAGAATTTTAACTTTCCTCACCAGGTATTTATTAAACAGCCACTTCCCTAGCATTGAAACATTTGCAAGAATTAATGAGATATCCATCAAGGAATTGACAGTAAGAGAGAACTCCTGAGGCTATCATTAGGCAGTGTGATGTGTAGCGAGATTAAATAAAAACTCAGAGACAGATACTGGTTCAACCTAAAGGTCAGAAAAGTGAAACAGCCAGTCACTGGCTCTTACCTCTACCTCGGTCTGAAATGGCGATCCTGCCTCCAGAAATCCTCAGAATGAGACTGTGTGAGAACTGTCTCCTTCCATCTTATATTTTATATTTCTCTAGTGCTGGGATTAAAGGCGTGCAGCACTACCACCCGGTTTCTATGGCAAACTAGTGTGGCTACTGGGATTAAAGGTGTGTGTCACCACTGCCTGGTCTGTAAGCCTGACCCGGCTGGCTGTTTTACTCTCTGATCTTCAGGCAAGCTTTATTTATTAAAATACAAATGAAGTATCACTATAGTGATGGACACTGTTAAGAAGTACAGAGACAGACTGGGCGGTGGTGGCACACACCTTTAATCCCAACACTTGGGAGGCAGAGACAGGTGGTCAAAGCCAGCCTGGTCTACAACTTGAGTACCAATACAGCCAGAAGTCCTATCTCAAAAACAAAACAACAAATAAACAAACAAAAACAAACACACAGGACTAGAGAGATGGCTCAGCAGATAAGAACACTTCCTGTTTCTCCAGAGGACCCAGGATTGACTCCAAGCACCCATACGGCACTTGACTACTGTCTACAACTCCAGTTCAAAGGGATGTTATCCTCTGACCTCCAGGGGCATCAGGCACGCATGTGGCGCACATACATACATTTAGGCAAAACACCCACATGCATAAACCAAAGGAGGAGCAGAGGAGAAATGGGGAGTTGGTCCTTTAGAAAAGGTACACCAGGCATAGGACACAGTACATACAAAGCCACAATAATACACGGAGAACTAAACATATACGTTAGTTCCTGTGTAAAAAGGGCTTCTGTGCTGGCTGAGGTTGAAGGGCCTTTCACTGTGCAGCACTCTGATGCTGGGGTGCAATTTATCTCATGGGCCCGCACAGCCTCTGCAATCTAAGCATGTGACGTCCTCCTGAGGTTGGTCAGCAGAAGGTCAAAAAGCTATGAACTGGCAAAATCCATCAAAACTGTGACTGGCAAGTCTGGTGTCTTTCTCTCATCCCATACCCCTATCCTTCATAAACACCTAAAAGAGAAACTTCACAAAGTTCTGCAAAGTCACATGTAGGGATTCGAATCATCTGAAAATATTAAGTATTATAGAACTCTGGGCTCCCTTTTCCCTTGGCTTGCCAGTTGAGAGGAACCCAACCCATTCAGAAAGTATTTAAGGACTCATTCACTAACAATAAAAAAAAAAAAAATTGCTTTCCTCAGGTCCAGGTTGGAAAAGGAACTTATTTTCTGTTTTATTCATTTAAAAAAAGATGTGAGACTTCTCATATTGGCAGAAGAAACAATATTCTTGAGAGATTGGCAGACAACAATTAAATATAAAATACTAAAATTTATTTTTGTATCTCTAACCAGTGATTTGGGACACCTTTATTGAAAGATCTTCCATGGCAAAATATTCTTCAACAGTGTTAGAAGTACATGCCGCAGGGCTGGCAAGCACCCCCTGCTCTTCCAGATGCCCAGAGCTCAGTTCCCAGCTCCCACATCTGCATGACTTCTTCTTCCACCAGTTCCCACACATACTCACACAAACACAGATACACACAGAAAAAATAAATCTTAAAGTACAAGTAGATCCGAATGCTTTTCACTAAATCCTGTCTTGGGTACATGGTCTGAGTAATTTTACCAATCTGTCCAACAGAAGCTCAGAGGATCAATGATGCCACTGTATTACAAGAGCTGTTCCCTGCAAAACTAGACTTTTGGGGAGTCAACCCCACAAACTGGCATCATTAAATAAGCCTGTATTTTAACTCTGTATTCGCTAGGATATACAATATATTTGCATGTACTAATCAGACAGGCAATCAGATACCCTCAGTATATAAAAGTTTGGAGTAGATCTGAAGCCGAAAGTAAGAGTGACTTTTATGGGATTTTCTAAGGAAAATCTCAGAGGTTTTAGCCAACAGTAAATATCTCACAGAGTATCTCCTACCTTCCCTTATTATTGTCTAAGAACTACCACATCATTTTCTGTATGAATATGATATCCAAAAATATAAAACACACAAGGAATTTTTATTCCCCTCACTATAGTCCTCCCACTTCTCATCATTTCAGTCCATTCCCACACCATCAAGAGTATGACTTCATCTCATCCTGTCACCTGCGGTTTGAGAGCCAGGCTTCCCACACAACTCTAATTACCCTGCGGTTTCAGCAGGACACCTTAGTGAGTCTTCCTTAAAAGTACAGCACACAGGGGACCTGACTTGGAAGACCTAACTTTCTGCTCTAATGTAGCACCAGGTGGGCCTCTAGCCAGCTGAAGTGAGCCAAGCATGAGTGTGAAGTTCTAACCCTTCGCTCCGATGTCCAGAGAAGAGATTACTACATCACACTTTAGCAGTACCAGGAATCCAACCTGCTAGTTGGTGCTCTCTCCCCACTAAGTTACATCTCTAACACTGGGAACTGACTTTGGTTCTCATCTTAGTTTCCTCTAATTTCCACTCAGATTTATATCTTCTCACTATTAAAGAGGGATGACAGTTCTAATTGTCAAAACTGCTATAAGAACCAAATGTAACTGTAAAGTCCCTCTGTAGCTGAAAGCACTCTAACCCTTTTCGGTTTCTCTGCAACTTGCTAAACAACCCAGTTTCAACCCACCTACCACTTAAACCAGGCCGTTTCCATTCTATGTGGCCTCTGGCTCTACTTCCCCATAAAAGAAAACAATTAAAGGCCCAAGATGAAAGATAATTTTTTAATAATTTGGATACTTTCACAGAGAGACAGGGAAGCCCTGTCCCTACAGAAAGGCGTTCCCACCCACCCCTGCACCACAGCAGGATACAGAAGGTGTGACCAGTGCACTAAGTACGTAGGACTTTAAAACCATCCTTCTGAGCTGTCTGCGGCTCGTAGTGGCTGAGAAGTGTGAAATGGCCAGGAATAAAAACCGCAAACTCAGACTTACTTCTCCTAACACTGCCCCACCTCCACCATTTTCTCTATGCTCCAATCAGGTGGCCAGCTTCAAGGGTCTGGTTTGCAACTGCTGTTCTACAGCAGATAGAATCTCTGGGCTGTACGCAAGTGCACTGTGAGCAGCATCTCGGCCAGCATCCCCTACTGTCTCTTGACAAATGTCAAGGACAATCCCACAAGTGAAGATACAGGGACAACCAAGACCCTGACACCCACCTTTAGTAAGTGGTACCAAACTGGTCTCACTTGACCTCATGGCCTACATTCCCTACTATGTAACCTCTCATTATCAAGTAAGCCCCCAACCTGTTAAGAGTATTATTATGCTCTCATTCTGGCCAAAGGAGTAAGGGATCAGTTTAGGGGCACTAAAGCCCTCATTTCTATTTGATAAAAGATGCACAATAAGTTTTTTTAAAAAAATAAGTTACACAAAATTTTCTTGACACAAAACTCATCTGGACAAGTCACCAAGAAGGTCGAAAACTAAAAAGTAAAATCCTCACACAGAATGAGGCTTATTCGCTGCTGGCCCGCTCCCCAACTGGAAGGCCTGCTCCCTGGGCATCCACCACTCAGGAGGTAAACTCTGGCTTTTGTGACTGTGACCTCCCATGACTTTGATGTTCTCTCCTCCTGGACTAGACAGTGCAGCCCTGAAACCCTAAAATGGAACCTCGTCAGGGCTTCATTCTGGAGTGTGGCTGCAGAACCTAGGCCATAGCTGGCATCACCCTCCACCACTCTGCCTCAAGCAGGAGAGCTCTGAGGAATGAAGCAAACAACTTCCCTGTTCCCTTTCTGTCAGCCAAGATGCATGAGGCCTGGTCTCTTAAAGCTGCCTCTCTTTCTCAGTCACTGTTGTTCAGGTGCTTGTTTAGGAGAAGGAGCGGTGGTCACAACAACAGTGGAGACTGCTTTGGAGGAGCCAGAAGCTGTGCCCTGTTGGAGATGGGATGCGGGAACAGTCTGGATGCGCACCTGCGCACAAAGAGAGGAAATCTGGTCAGTGAACTGCAAGTAGGCACATCAATGAAGGAAAGCAAAGGAAACAGACAAGCTGAGATGGTCAACAGTCAGCATTAGACCTTACCTGTGTGGCCTGACCTTGTTGCTGAAGTTGCTGCAACTGCTGGGCAGTGAGGAAACTCACTGGCTTATTGCCAGCAATTAGCTTAGTACCTGCTGGCATGGTTGTGAGGATGATGTTGCGACCCAGCCCACTGAGACTGTGGAAGGGAAACAGAAGTAAGGTATGACCACACATTGCTCTGGCTCAGACTGAAGCTCCATATGGAATGAAGGACAATAAAGAGGCCTTGTGCTCATTAAAAACCTCAGCATTCTGAATTCAAATGGAATCTTATACTAGGGCTACCTTTCTTCTAAACTTCTATACTCTCCATGGCTGGAGCCTCCAGAGTAGTGGATAAAATACTCTAAACTCTATACTCTGCCCAGCAAGAGACAGGAACCATGAGTCCCTGGCAAGAATCTCTTCCAGTTGGACACATGGAAGGAGAGCTGACAGCACTACAGACAGTACAGGTGTGAGGCAGCCCCAGCAACCCAGCAAGATCCCTGTCCCTTAGGAAAGAAAAAGGCCGTGCCCACATCCCCAAACAGCCTCCTCATGATTAAGAATGCCCAAATGACTGCATCAGTCTTTATCCCTGTTTAAGGCAGGGCCAGAGGAAGTCAACATTTGCCAAACCGTCTTAAGCTCGGGCTCAAATATCAAAGGAAGGATCCTTTGATCCAGCAACATCTTCCAACCATCCCACCCCAACACCCTGCCCCTCCTCATTTTCTACCACTCAATATATCCCCGCTTTAGTACTGCTGTTGTATTCCTCCTACTCTACAACAGAAGCCAGGCACAGAATGGCTCTTTTATGTCTTAATTGTTGCATCCAAAAACAGTACTGGGGATTTGATGTGTATCACTGATGGAAATGTCAGGCATCAAGCACCTTCGCATTCTGCAAAACTGCATTTGCTCTTCCACAAACAGCACTCACTTGGCTCCAAGGTTGCCTTTGATAATGGGGGCTGTGACGACACTCTTGCCCTTCATTGGCTGGCTAATCACAGAGAGAGGAACTGTGATCCTTGTAGGCAGCTTCCCCTACAAAGAAAACAATCAGCATTTGTGAGCTAGAAGGAGATACAGCAAACAGCTAGTTCCTACAGAGAAGAAGCGAGAGCACTAGAGACAGCGCCAATCCTCATTCCCCAAGGGTTCCAATATTCCTGCAGTCAGAACCCAAGTAACTCCAATAAACTTGCTTATACGTTAAGTTATATGCCTGTTTATCACGATGAGCTCAAGCTCTGAGTTTGCCTTAAGTCTCAGGAGACTCTGAACTTAGAAGTCCAGGAGGAATGGAACTTGAGACTAGGTCTCTCTATAGAGCCCAGGCTATACATCAATTCAGTCTTCCTGCCTCAGCTTCTCTAGAGCTAGGATTACAGGAATGCACCATATACTCAGCTAACAGACCCGGACTTTTGAACAGTGCTGGAAACTGCGTTTTGTGTTATGTGGGGACAAAGGGTGCAATGTTATAGTTTAAGTATGAAATGTCCCCCACAGGCTCATATACTGATTACTTTAGAAGATTGTAGACACTTTTAAGAAGTGAGTCTAGTTGGAGGAAGTAAGTGCAGTAGTGTGCTCTTGAGGTTATGCCTAATTCCTGGTTCTCACTGACACTTCCTCTCATGAGCTGAGCAGCCTTAGACATGCTCACTCCTACCACTATGATTTGCTGCTCACCACTGGTCCAGAATCAACAGAGCTAAGGACTGGGACAGAGACTCTGTGACCATGACTCTAAGTTAATGTTTTCCTAGTTTATGGCAGGTATTTTGTCACAGCAATACAAAATCTGACTAATAAAGAGTATAATTCTTTAAAATTTTTTTGATTAATTTTACGTGTGTGTTTTACCTACTGTATATTTGTGAATTGCATGTGTATCTAATGCTAGTGGAAGTCAATGACCCTTCTGACTTAGGCTGCCTAGTTTTTGATGTTTGATTAGTAACAAAATTACCCATCCCACCCAGTACTGGGGATGAAACCTAAAGTCTCCCACATGCTAAGCATTAGGTGTTCTACCACTGAGTCACACACCCAGCAGGTAATTTATAACCATGTGTAAACCTTGCTTGTTTTTAAAAGATAGAAGAGAGATGGCTCAGAGGTTAAGAGCAGTAATTGTATTTTCAGAGGACCCAGGTTCAACTCCCAACACCTACACAGCAGCTCACAACTGTCTATAACTCCAGTTCCATGGGGATCTGACACCCTCACACAAACATGCAGACAAAATACCAATGCATATAAAATAAAAATAACGTTAAAAAAAATACAAGAGGGGCTGGAGAGATGGCTCAGCGGTTAAGAGCACTGGTTGCTCTTTTAGAGGAATCAGGTTCAGTTCCCAGCACCGGCTCACACCTGTCTCCAATTCCAGGGCTTTACTACCTTACACAGACACACATGCAGGCAAAACACCAGTGAATATAAAATAAAAAAATAATAAATGTTTAAAAAAAGATAGCACTAATTGTGCTACCAAAAAGTCTATCAGCTATATATTGTTACATGCGTAGAAAATATTTTCTTCAGTTTGGAACTAGGAATGTAGCTCGTAGAGTAGTTGCCTAGTAGGCTCAAAACTCTGGCTTTTAGCCCCAGTGCTGCAGGGTCACAATTAGTGTGTCAAACTTTCAATATGTGTATCTTCGAGACTCAGTTATCTACGCTCCAGAAATACTTTTTTTTTAATATTTATTTGTTTATTTATTTATTATGCATACAATATTCTGTCTGTGTGTATGCCTGCAGGCCAGAAGAGGGCACCAGACCTCATTTCAGATGGTTGTGAGCCACCATGTGGTTGCTGGGAATTGAACTCAGGACCTTTGGAAGAACAGGCAGTGCTCTTAACCGCTGAGCCATCTCTCCAGCCCCAGAAATACTTTTTAAAAAAACCTTGCACTAGAGCATTACTGTAGCACACTGGCAGCAGAAGCTCTCCTATGTATTTTCACATCACTAAACAGGGCTTGGTCAATATCCGAGAATGGCCTACATTCTTAACTAGGTGTATATACATGGAGTGCTCAGGGAAAGGGCTGGAAGGATAAATACATTATTCATTAACCCTTGTAAGGACAAGAAAATTTTGTATTTTACCCTATGCTTCTGACATTATTCTTTATATTTTAAGGATATGTATGTGTACATGTATACACACACATGCTACACTTTTCTAAATTGTATTCCAAAAACAAACAACACAAATCTATATGTCAAATTGAGTGATATGGACAGATCAGTTTCCTAGTTCTTAGTCTCCTAAGGGACAGGGGCCGAACCTGAAGAACTTTTCCAGGCGGGCCTTGGCTGTACACACCTGCAATTCCAACACTTGACTGAGAGAAGAAAATCAACAAACGAAGAGAGTCAAGACCAGCTTAGGCACATAACAAGTTCTAAGCCAGCCTGGGCTATAGCAAAATCCTGCGTCCAACTTAATACAAGGTAGGGTCATCTGAAAGGAGGGAACCTCAAGAAAAATGTCTCCAAAAATCCAGCTGTAAGGTAGTTTCTTAATTAGTTCTTGATACGGGAAGTCCTAACCCATTTTGGGCAATGACATCCTGGGCTGGTGGTCCTAGGGTATATAAGAAAGCAGGCTGAGCAAGCCATGAAGAACAAGTCAGTCAGCAGCAACTCTCCATGGCCTCTGCATCAGCTCCTTCCTTGCTTGAATTTCTGTCCTGACTTCCTTCAATGATAAACAGCAATATGGAAATAGAAGCTGAATAAACCCTTTCCTACCCAACTTGCTTTTGGTCATAGTGTTTCATATCCCAGCAACTGAAACCCTAAGACACCCATCTCCTTCCAGAAAATAGTTTCCTGAGCAGAAGGCTAAAATCTTTACCATCAACAATACTCACAGACTGGGATGTGGACACAACTGTAGTGTTAACAGGGACCTGTCGCACCGTGGGGGCTCCAGTCCCAATGCTGATGGGGGTGCTTGTTGCTCCAGAAGCCACAGCCACAGTCTTAGACACAGTAGCATTTATACTGGGCAAGGACACCGTTGAAGAATGGACAGTTCCAGACCCACCAGCGACAGAGGCTCCTTGCTTTGCATGTGCTGCAACAGTAATAGTCTGGCCTGCTTTAGGAGGCATCACTCCCAGACCCTGCACAATGCGGATTGTGGCAGCAGGTTTTGCTTCTGAAGAGGCCACTGTGTTCTTTCCCTTCTGATCTGCCACACTCACTCCAAGAGCTGGCATCAAGCGAAAAGCTGAATTCGAGGTTTCTGTTGGCTTGAGATCAGGAGTTACTTTGACCACGGTAGTACCTGCTGGAGCTGATGAAGGAACACTGGCTGAAGGGGTCTTGGCAGGGCTGTCTGCTGCATGGACAGGGTTGGAAGTGACGTGTAAGGTAGCGGAGATGCCTTTGCCTGCAGTGCCACTTCCTGTCCCAAAGAGGTCCTGAGTCAATTTGACTGTGGTAACCTGAGACTTGGCCAATGTGGCCATCATGTCCGGAGTGATTCTCAAAACCGTCTGGCCCTTGGCGTCTGTGGTGATGGAAGAGGGTGGCAGGCGCAGTACATCTTTACCCTGGATACGGAAGTTAGTGGCTGTGAGTGGAATGCTGCTGCCTGTCTGGGGCTTCACGCCAAGCTGCCCAGTTATTGATACCTGGACGGGGAAATACAATACCAATGAAAAGATTCACAGTGCTAAACTGGTGTCATGGATGAGGCAAACCTCTACTCATAGGCATACAATTCATGTATCTTTAACTTTTCATTTTCAAAAATGGTCAACACAAACAAAAGTAAAGAAGAATATAACAAACCATATACCCTTTACCCAGCTTCAAATGCAATTATTTTGTCAATCTTATCTATCCTTTCCTGGCTTTAGCAAGGAATAGAAGAGATTGAGCTGGCGTTTTGGCAGTTACCAGCAGTACAGGTAAGCTGGGAGTTGAGACTTGCCCTCACAAAGGGTTCTAGAAAATAAATCCAAGGCCTCACCACTAAGCTACACCTACCAGCCCCACCCCACAAGAACTGGAATATTTTAAAGTAAACCAAGATACATTATCTTGTTGAATGTGTGTGTATCTATGTGTGTGTGTATATATATATAACTTACTTAGCAAAGGATTTTGAGTTTTTTATTTTCGTTGTCTTGTTTATTGGGTTTGTTTGTTTGTTTGTTTGAGACGGTTTCTCTGTGTATCCCCAGCTGTTCTGGAACTCACTCTGCAGACCAGGCTGGCCTCGAACTCAGAGATCCACCTGCCTCTGCCCCCGAATGCTGGGATAAAAGGCATAAGACACCACCATACGGTGTAAAGGACTTTTTAAGCTAAAAATATTATTCACAATGCCATTACAATGGAGTACTGTCAGCACGTATCTGATCATCCCCACCCCATACCACCCTCCAGTAATTCAAATCCATCTATTTACAGTTAGTCCACGTGTTTTGAGCACTAGCATGGTGCACTAGCTCCAAGAAGGGACTCTGGAGTCAGACTCCCTGAGTTCACCACTACCAGCTTCACGGTACCCAACATGTTATTAATAACCTGACCCTCTGGTCTACTCAATGCCTTCCTCTTGGTAGCCCTTCTACTGGACCACTATCATAGAAAGCAAATACATAAGATACTGGCCATCAAAAGAACAAAAAAATCAAATCTGATTGTTTCATGATTCATCTGTACACAATACTCCAGCCCAAATTCTATGTTGTCTTCAGAAGCAACATCTCTCTTTAAATTATTCATAATTACTTATTTCTGCTTCCTCACCTGACATTCCCTTTAACAATCCAGATCCTGGTCCCAGTCACAGCTGTTGAATAGCTACACACAGTGAATCTCATCCATACTTTACCACATCCCACACAGGTGCTGCCCAATATTAAATCTATATGTCCCAGATTCTCCATACTCCAACTTTATTCCCTCTCAGTAAATGATACCACTATACCTAACTATTCCATCCAGAGCCCACAGGAACACTTCTTTTAGACCCATATTCAAGCACCAGCAAACCACACGAGCTACATTCCCCTCTTGCCACAGCTAACAAACACCCTCCATCCCTCTTACCCAGGCTGCTGCAGCTGCTCTACAGTCTTCTTGCTTTCAATCTTGTTCCCCAAAGTGCACCGTATCCAGTAGTAGCTAGGGATTAACTACAAACCAGATCCAGCACCCGATGAGTTCACAATCTGCCTGTGTTCACCGTCACATCAAAGCTTGACACTGTGACAAACGTCAACCTCACCAAATGCACTGCTTATGCACTAAGTTCCCTGTCACTCCACAAAAGTGTTCCTGATGTACCACACTCAATCTCCAGTCTACACACATAGTACTTTATCTCCAGGTCACCACTACACGGCACAACGACTTCATCCCCTTAAATGTCATTTCTTCAGAGAAGCTACTTTCCATCATCACAGCTAAACTAACACACGATGTCCCATCCATCTTCCATCTTTACCCAAATCACCACAGTTTGTTTTTGTTTTTGTTTTCTTATGATTTTTCAAGAAAGGATTTCTCTGTAGTTTTGGAGCCTGTCCTGGTACTCACTCTGTAGAGCAAGGTGGCCTTGAACTCATGGAGATCTACCTGTCTCTGCCTCCTGAGTGCTGGGATTAAAGGCATGCACCACCACCGCCTGGCTACAGTGTTTCTTATTATCTCATACTGATACAGTTTTTTGTCACCTACTCCTATGACATGTGAGCTCCACAAAGGGGCTTAGTCTCTTTAACACAGCCTAAATTCCCCAAAGACAATACATACCTGTTAAATAAAAATGTTATTTTGTCACTGAGTGGATCTATTTCTTCACCCACCTACCCACGATGCCATGACAGACTGGCTAATGTCTATACAAAACACAGTGGGGTAAAATCGACAAGAGGCACTGCTCTAGTACCAGGTGTCAACAGGCTTCACAATTTTTAAAGTGAGAAGATCACATCTGCATATTCACAGTCAAGAAAAAACAAATGTATATTCCACCTTTACAAGCGACAAACTAAAAACTCTGTAAAATACGCCATGAAGCTAACTGCATAACCAGGGAAGCTACCCCATAAATCCAAACTCCAGCTACCAAATATTGAAATACACAAAAAGAGATGAGCATAAAGTTTGCTTCTGGGGTGGGGGTGGGGCACTCACCTGATAAATCTCCAAACCATGAGACAAAGGCAATAAAGCCTCCTCCATAGGCACCCAGGCTGCTCAGTCTCATCCTATGCCTTAACTCCTTTGCTTTTATCTTTAGGACACCACTCAGAGTCAGGTCCACATACCTGCTTGATGATGTTCTGTCCTGTGACATTCTGGATGACGGCTGTCGTGGAGGCACTTGGAGCAGAGTTCCCGGGAGAACTCATGGCTGGCTTGCTCACTGGGCTGACTGCAGCAGGGAGATTTGTCACTGTAAGCCCTGTCTGCCCAGGTCCAGGCCGCTGTACAGAAGCCGCTGCAGTTTGCCCCTTGACTGGAACAGTTGCTACAACTGCCTAGTTCAGGATGTGAAGTTAAGAGACCAATTAGACACCAAAATGGGATCAGCAGTCATGCAAGGGCCCTGTACAACTCCGCTCAGAAAGTATTCTGAAAGTACCCTTGCTATCAGAGCCTGAAGCTCACCACACCCTGGAATGTACACTCTATCTCCTATATTTGTATCATGTTCACAATGTTTTACATTTAACCTCTTATTTCATTTCCGTATGCTGAAGACATTTTACATACAGGAAAGGAAAATGAAGACAAAATATGTGAATCTTTCAAACAAGTGATCAGTGGCATGGCTAAAGGCACAATGGAAATTTAGAAGCACAATTCTCCTTCTACAGGGCCTTGATATGACAATGAAGATCTTGTTTCTGACATGCAAAACAGAGTACCTAAAAGTACTTTTCCAAGCTTTGAACATTTTCCCTTGAAACTTTGAACATTAAATGAGTTCACTGAACTTCATCATTAATACCAACAATATAAGACTTCCAGGTCTTCCTCAAGCTCTACTTGTTTGAGTCACTGAGTAGCCCACTTCTAGGTCTATATGGTCCCTGTATCCCAATGGCATGCAGCATCCACTTACCTGGGGTACTACTTTGGTTTGTGTAGCAGTGACTGGCACACGAATCTGTGGTCCTGCTGGCATCTGTGGTAGTGTCTGTGCTGGCCCTACTGACTGCTGGGAAACAGCAGGAAGGCTGGGCTGGGCTACCACCCGAACCTGGGGCAGTCCTGCTGAGCTAGAGTGGCTTACAACCCGAGCAGTAGCCTGAGAACTGGGTGGAGTCTGGATGGAAGCTGGGGAAAGCATCGTTCCTAGCTGTGGCATTGTTGGTGAGGACACCAGAAGAACACTATATGAAAAATCAAGGGGGAGAACACAAAACTCAGAACATGCATACAGAAAGACTCTAGAGGGAAAGAACAAGAGAAGAAACACAGGTACTTACCCTGAACTTGACTTAGCTGGCTCAGAGACAGTGGTAGAGCCACTTTTGCTCACTGCCGATACAGGTGGAGGAGATATGGGGGTGGTGGGCAATGCTGGCGTGGTGGGGGTTACAGGTGTAACTGGGGTAGGTGGCATGCTGGAGTCACTGAGGCTCATCTGGCTTTGCTCAGAAGGGCCACTAAGACCCTTCATGGAGCTCTCCTTATTACTGGACTTCTAGAAAAGAAAAAGGCACCTCAGGCATCATGAAGGCTCCTGATGCACTCACTGGGTCAGGTAAAAGCCGAGTGTCTCTGCTGGCACACCTCATCTTAGAACCTCTAAAGTAAACGCCCTCATGAAATAACTTACCACCTTGGATGGCGGCTTGGGTTTTTGCTGAAGAGCTTTTCTGGCTTTAGCTGCTGCTGCTTGAGCTTGATGGATCCGTTCTATAAAAAAAAAAAAAAAAAAAAAAAAAAAAAAAACATTATACAGTTTAGGAAATTTGGCCTTAGCATGCTTAATGAGAAGATCTTTGTTAAAAAACAAAAGCCTCTCCAAATAAAAGTTGTAATCCCACTTCTAGGGAGCCTGAGGCAGGGAAACAGTAAATTCAAGGCCAGCCTGTTACCAGGCTAGACTCTGTCTCAAAGCAAAGCAAACAAAACAAAAAGCTGGACTTGACTATGCACAATTGTTAAGTCCAGAACTGTGGAAACAAAGACAGAATCATATCAAGTTCAAAGCCAGCTTGCCCAAACAGCAAGATCCTGTCACAAAAACAAAGTAAGACAAACCATGGCCTTGTTGGTGGACTGGATTCTGCCTCCATAATCCTATCCTAACTGAATGCTACCAGAGTAACAGATCTGGAACAGAAGGCAGAAACCCCGCATCTAGTCAGCACTCTGAAGGGCTCACATACCAAACTCTTCCTCACTCCGGTCACGATGCAGGTAGATCCACAGCTTTCGCCCAATGTCATATTTCACACAAGGGTCTTTTTCATAATGCAGTCGATCCAGTGCACCACTCACTACAGTGTTCACCTATGAACAGAACAAAAGGAGACATGGGAAAAGTCCAGCCAAGATAATAAAAGTTATCTGGACTCCCAGGAAAAACTAGCAGATGTAAGTCACAGAGAATAACAACCTAGCTCTGTCCTTTCACTGGCTTACTTTGTAAGGAATGATGTACAGCTAAGATACTAATTGTCTTCACTGTAATGCATCCTGTGAACTAATTAACTGTAGAAACCTTTCCTTTATTACAAGAAGGCTGGAGAGATTGCTCAGCAGTTAAGAGCACTGCTGGTCTTGTTCCCAGCACTCATATCAGGTGGCTCAAACAATGATAACTCCAGCTCCAAGGGATCCAATGCCCTCTGCTGGCCTTCATGGTCACCTACACTCACATGGCATGTGTTAATATAGACACACATACACAGAAATAAAATGTTTTAAAATATATCTTTTAAAAAAATACAGTTGTGAATTACTGGGAATTAAACCTGGGTCTTCTGGAAGAACACTGTTCTTAACCATTAAGTCATTTCTCTACCCACTTGGCCATAGTATTTTTATTGGATTATTTTAGTGTTCTTACTATATGTATGATATGAATATAGTCAAACATTTGCCATAGTACGTGTGTGGCAGTCAGAAGACAACTTTCAGGGCTGTTGCTCACCATCTACCTTGTTGAGACACAATCTCTTGCTGTTTCTAACACACTGTGTTTTCCAGGCTAGCTAGTCCAGAGAAAAGGTGAGTCTCCCTTGCCTGACTCCACCCTTACTTTAGAGATGCTGGGATTAAAGATCTGTCACCTCATCCAGCTTCATATACAGACTCCAGTGAAGTTAGGTCATCAGGCTTGCACAGCAAGTGTCTTTACCCACTGAAAAATCTCCCTGGCCCATTGATTTTTGAGGCAGGAATCTTACTATGTTATCTAGGCTTCAAATTCAAAATCGTCCTGCTTCAGCCTCCCAAGGTAGCTGGTATTTATTATAGGTACATGTCATCATGCCTAGATAGCTTTTATTCATTTGATTTGATTTTTTGTTTTGTTCTGATTTTTTGTTTGTTTTTGATACAAGTTTCTCTGTGCAGTTCTAGCTGTCCTAGAACCCATTCTGTAAACCAGTCTGGCTTCAAACTCAAGAGATCCACCTGTCTCTGCTTCCCAGGTGTGGGATTAGATGACTTACTCATTCATTTTATTAAAAGATTTTATGGTAGAGGAAGCACATACAGCTCCTAATGGGTATAAGACTCTGGGGGAAAAAAAGTGTAACTTACATTTCCTAATAGTTTTTCTCAAATACATTCTGAAATGAAGCCAAAAAAAAGCTATTTCACTAACTTACCTGAGTGCTGGTGACATCTGGAGCAAGAAACTGAGAGTCCTTGAGCAGTTCGCAGATCTCTGCCCGAGTGCCTTCTCCATTAGGCAGCCGCGCTGCAGCATCCCGAACTGGTATCAGAAAACGCAAAATCCAGGAGTCAAGCAAAGCTTCCAGTGAATATGACATCTCCTGACCTGCTCTGGTGGGACTGAGCTCCCTAGAATGAGGTCTCTGAGCCTCATCTGCCAGGCGAAGACACACTGCCCTCTAGTGGCTATAAACACTGCATGAACTTAATACACTTTTAACATACCCTATGGGGCAAAATCAGGCCCATGGATACCTTAGAACTGAGTGAAGTGGTTCTCATCCCCAAATAGGACATCACACCGACCCCTTACCAAGGCTCAGGGAGGTCATGAAAGAGTGGGCAGAAAGATTTTAAGAGACAGAGGTTAGGGAGGGTTGCAGGAAACAGCATTTTTTGGACAAGGAGGGAGTTATACTCATGACCTCTCAAAAGCTGTGGTCACTACACAAGACCCGCACAAGATCTACCTAGTCACTATTCCAGCATGGACAGAGGGGTTCAAAAGGTTCCACTTCTGGTTGCAAAGCTGCAGGCAGTCAGGGCAGCCAGTGGAGATAAGTCAGTTTTCTTTGAAGGAGGGATAGGTTACCCCTGCTACAGTGAAGGCCTACACCCACACCACACACACATGCAGATGACACTAAATGAACTCATCAGTAGGATACATACACACATATATAATATACATTTTTAGTGAAAACATAAAGTTGGGAGGGCATCTGAGGTAAGGGACTAGAAAGGTGTTGAAGGAGGGAGTATGGGGTGGGTTAGAGCAAAATAAAATGAATTCATGTATATATAGGATAAAAGAAAAGTAGTTCTATAAACTTGATTGTAAAAAAGTAATTTAACACTTCCTTCAATTATCAACTAACATTATAAATCACATATTGATATTATTGTATTATTACAATAGAAATCAAATACTTTTTATGCTACAGGTATTGAAGACAACAATTCAAATCACTTACATTCACCCCCATTGGAAGTTAGAAAATTTGAAGCATCCGCTACTGGGTACTATCATTCAATATAATAACAAAAACTGTTTTGCATTTAAATTTGTTTTAACGTCTTAATAGTTACTAAAACATGACTGGCTTCTTCTGCAAATCTAAGTATTTCAAGAATTTAAATGCAGCTGGGTTGGGGAGGCACATGCCTTTAATCCCAGGAGAGGCAGAGGCAGAGAGATCTCTGAGTTTGAAGCCAACCTCATCTACAAAGTTCTGGGACAGCTAAGACTACATAGAAAAATCCTGTATCAAAAAGGGGGGGAGGTTTAAATGCATAATTCTAACTCTGGGAAGGAGTTCAGAGGTCTCACTAGACTACCAACAGGACTCATAACACAAAGAATTCTTCTCTTATTTTTTTTTAAAGATTTATTTATTTTTATGTGCACTGGTATTTTACTTGCATGTATGTCTGTATGAAGATGCCAGATCCTCTAGAGCTGGAATTACAGACAGTTGGGACCTACCATGTGGTTGCTGGGAATTGAACTCAGGACCTCTGGAAGAGCAGTCTGTTCTCTTAACAGACTGCCAACTCTACTCTACAGGCCCTCTTATTTTTTGAGACAATATCACTAAGTCGGCTTCAAACTCACTATGTAGCATAGGCAGCCTTTAAATTCACAATAGTCCTCTAATCTCAGCATCCTAAGTACTGGGGTTACAGGCATGTGACCTCTCTCAGGAAAAAAACAAACAAACAAAAACAAAAACCTCTTTAACGAGGCAGAGTGCGATACCTAAAGTATCTACCAGCTTGTAAGCAGAGTTCATCAAGATGAACACGGCTTCAAAAAGAAGAACTAGTTCCTGGCATCCATCTCCCAGCACAAAATCTATGCTGCCACCTCTTAGATTAGAAAACTTATGAGACTGATCCTCAATGGTTGGAGTGTGCGAGGGGTTAAGGTTTGGTATAGGAAAATTCTGAGGAAAGTTCTGGGGTAAAAATAAGAAATTCCTAGTAATTAAGGCATGCATGCCACATACCAAGAGACAGAATGGTGACATAGGCAGGTCGGTCAGAACGCAGCAGGGAATGTTCACGAGCCTTGTTGAGGGAGGTCTCCTTGTCAAACACACCCTTCACTGGCCCCACCACAGACTCAAAGCCATGCATGCGAAAGGTAAATGCCTTATGAGGTTGGCTATACCTGTAACGCTCCTACCAAGAAAAAAGTCAGAAAATTACCATGTCACAATTAGTGGGGTTCTTTCTAGCACTCCCTTAAAATAAATGGATCAAATGAGATGTTACAATAAGGAGGAAACAAGCAAAGAACTATGACCCAACCACAGTGGAAAAAGGACAATCCTCACAACTGGTCACCTAGGAAATGGCAAGGAAGTAAAATGCATTCTGCTACCTGGAAGAAAAGACAGTCGGGAAAAAAAAGTTTCTTTCCCGCCAGGTAGTGGTGGTGCACACCTTTAATCCCAACTCTTGGGAGGCAGAGGCTGGCCAACCTGTTCTATAAGAACTAATTCTAGGACAGGCTCAAAGCTACAGAGAAACCTGTCTCAAAAAACAAAATAATAATAATAATAATAAAATTTCTTTCCCGTTTACCAAATCAGTTCTACCCCAACAAGTAAACTCAACCATCTAAGCTAAAGGACGTGAACATCCAAGGAGCTGATATCAAGGAAAACTCGGGCTCAGTGCTTCTGAAGAGAGCTTACCTGCTCTTGAAACACCCGTTTCTCTTCTCCTGTGCTAGGCCGCACCACATAGTCAGTTCTTCTGGAACATAAAGAATTCTATGTCATCTCTGAGAGCAAGAGGGTCATGAACCATTCCCTTAGCTACATGGGAAAATGTCCCTTCAAAAGTGCTCGTCCTACTCAGTCTACTCTCCAGTTATTACCATACAAGTCTTGTTGATATTTCCCATGCTACCCCATTCTTGGGATCCTCAAGTGTTTGGAATAAACAGAAAGAGAACGGCATCTTTACCTACTGTTTTCAGCATGGCTAAAAAGTGAGCTAAATGACAAAATGTCATTCTTGGTAGAACAAAGCACTTCAAGTATATTTGATGACAAGAATGCTATTTCTGCCTTCCAAAGAAGTTGAGTTCTTAACCCCCCCTATGTGAACGCATATATATATATATATATGTATGTACGTAAGTATGCATGTGTGCATGTAATGGTTACAGTAAGGATGGGCCTCTGAACTCCAGTTTGAACAGGCAGGAATCAGGAACGTGAGATGACTAAGCATGAAGAGCACTACTAGAAGGCAAAGGATCTGAACTCTAGTCAGGGTCCAGACACCACCTTTAGCAAGTCACTCAACTTCATGGATTTCTTTTTACAAGTAAAATGAGGAACTTGAACAGATTAATCATTCTGAAGTGGAAACCAGGAAGGTTATACAGGACACTGCCCAACTACAAGGCAGATCATCTTAGACTACCGTGGTCAGGAACCATTCTTACTAAGCATATATGTCCTCCTCCAGTATGTTGAGGCATATTAGTCCATGGACTTCTAGCGTCTTCCAGTCCACTACAACTCAAACACACTAAAGCAGCCAGCAGACCCACAGCGATAATGTTAAAAGTCGTGGCTTCATGGGAAACCACCCACCATGAGAATATACTCACACTCGAGGGACAGGTGTCATGGCGTCTGAGCTGTCTTCATTCTCCTGCTGAAGAAAGGGAAAACATTACCAGGTAAATGAACTAGACAATTTTTACTAACTTAAGGGCTCTAAAAACCCAAGTAATGAAAAAGTAAGAGATGTACCTTACAGAAGATCTGGTCTTTGGTTTCTAACCACAGGTGGAAGAGAGCAGCTAATTCCTTTTCATTATCTTGAGACTGAACTGCACGGGTGGGGGTACACACAAAAAGTAAGAAATTTAGAGTTTTATTCAGAATCCTGCCTTCTCTTCACCAGCTCTATCCATGCCAGAAAGAGAACATGTCAGAATTCATCACTGGTCCTTCCCACATGTTCATGCCACTACCCTCAGGGCCTGGACTTCTAGACCAGGATGTCACTTGTTCAGATCTTTTCAATAAGTATTTACAGAGTAGTCACTGTGCACCAGGCACCTGGATGAAGTTGAGATTTTTTTCTTGGTAGGAGCGCTACAGGTATAGCCAACCTCATAAGGTCGCATGCATGGTTTTGAGTCTGTGGTGGGGCCAGTGAAGGGTGTGAACATAGATTAATATAAATGGGTTGATTTAAGTTAAAAGAGCAGTTAGAAACAAGTCTAAGCTATAGGTCAAGCTTCCATAATTAATAAGAAGACTCCATGTGTTATTTGGGAGCTGGCAAGCAGGACAGAAAAAGGTTCATTACAGAGTAATGAGTTCATATAAAAATCAATCCTACAAGAAGTAAATGTCATATGAATGCTACAGAAATTTACATGAGGGAAGGATCCTATTCTTGTAGGTGAGAAAAAATGTACTCTCACACTGGCAGAGCAGTAAGAAGACGAGGCAAGAAGAAGCTTAACTCTGTGACTGCCTAGAAAGACTGAACTCTGTGACATCTTCTTAAATTCTTAAGTCACAGCATATGCAAAACCCAAAACAGAGTAAAGATTTGATTGTAAGTCCTACTGCACGTACTGGCTTTGTGGGAGCCTAGGCAGTTTGGATGCTCACCTTACTAGACCTGGATGGAGGTGGGTGGTCCTGGGACTTCCCACAGGGCAGGGAACCCTGATTGCTCTATGGGCTGACAAGGGAGGGGAACTTGATTGGGGGAGGGGGAGGGAAATGGGAGGCGGTGGCAGGGAAGACACAGAAATCTTTAATAAATAAATAAACGGAAAAAAAAAGAAAAAAAAGATTTGATTGCAAGGCTTCAGCTATAAGAAAACATTTGGAAAGGCCCCACAGCCTTGATCTTGGTGAGATTCTTTATATGACATAAAAAGCAAAGGCAACAATGATGAAAAACACAAGTGAGATTGCATCAACTCAAAAACTGTGTACAGTAGAGAAAACACCAGAAGGAAAAAGGCAACCTATAGAATGGGAGAAAATATTTATAATCTACCTACGAACTAAGACGTTAACCGAGCTGGGTGTGATGGTGCACACCCTTAATCCTAGCACCTGGGAGGCAGAACCAGTTCAAGGACAGTCAGGGTAACACAGAGAAATTTGCCTCAAAATAAATAAACAAACAAACAAAGAAAAAAAAACAAGGGGATGGCTTAGTAGTTAAAAGCACTTGCTGCTCTCCCAGAAGACCCAGGGTTCCAGCCTCAGCACCTAGCTACACCAACAGCTCACAACTGTCTGTAGCTCCAGTTCCAAGAGATTCAATGCTTCTTCTGACACTCTTGGGCACCAAGCATATTTACAGTGCATAGACAGTGCAAGCAAAACACCCACACGTAAAACAATAAAAAAGTAGTTTGCCAGGCAGTGGTATAACATGTCTTTAATGCCAATATCTGGAAGGCGGAGCCAGAGGCCAAGCTCCTCCAAGTTGAGACCAGCCTGGTTAACCAAGTAAGTTCCAGGACAGCCAGAACTACACAGAGAAACCCTGCCTTGAAAAATTAAAACCAAAAAAAAAAAAAAAGTTAATCAAAATTTATAAAGAACTTCTACAAACTGATTGCAAAAATAGATCAAGATCTAGATATCTTGCCAAATGACAGTTCACAACAGCCCAAAAGAAGGTACAGGAAAGGGACTCAGTATCTTTAACCACAGAGAAAATCAAAATCACTAACAGTAGCTAGCTACTATTTAAAAAGCCAAAAAATCAAAAAGTATTAGTGAGACCAGTATGGTGGCAGACCTAAACTCCAAGCAGGAGGCAGACTTCTGTCAGTTTAAAGCAGGTTGGTCTGCAAGGGGAGTTCCAAGGCCACTTAGAACTATACAGAAAGAGCCTGTGTCCAAAAAGAAAAAAGTGCTGGCAGAGATGTGAAGAGAACCCTTGTGCACAGCTAGTGAGAGTGTGAACAGGTATAGCCATCATGCAACAGTATGACGGCCCCTAAAAAATTTAGAAAAATGCCCTATGGTCCAGCAATCTCACTTCTTACCAAAAGAAAACTGAAATCAAGGTCTCACAAAGTCTATTCACCCTTGCAATTCCAGCACTTGGGAGCCAGAGGCAGGAGGATCAGTTCAAGGCCATCTTAGCTACGTAGTTAAGTTAAAAGGTTAGTCTGATATAGATGGTCCTGCCCTTAAAAAGAAAAAGATCTCAGTGATCTGCACTCTGAGCTTTGCATCATGCCCAACTATCATAATCAATCATCAACTATCCAATCTCCACTCTTCTAGTGAGGTCCCTGATGACAGCCAGAGAAACAAGTGAAGAGAGGACAGAGGATGCCACAGTAGTAGGAAATAAAAACTGCCACGGGCATCACAGCTCTCACTGGTCAGTTTCACACACCCCATCTCCAAACTCTCCTTCCTTTTGACTTACAACAGACATGAGCTCACTGTTGTGGAGCCGCTATCCCCTTTCCTTCTACCACTACAAGAAATGTGGCACCTCCTCAGAAATACCATGACACATTTCCCCTTCTCTCTTGAATTTCCAAACCCCTCCTTTCTGATATTCTTCCCATCACTGACTGCTCTCATTTAAAAAAGAAAAAAAAAAGAAAAAAGAAAGAAGGGAGGGACGGAGGGAGGGAGGGAGGGAGGGAGGGAGGGAGGGAGGGAGGGAGGGGAAAAAAGCCTCTTAGGGGCTTATAATACTTACCAAGCAATTTCCACTGCTGGGTTTTCTCTTTGAATTCAACAAATGGAGAGAAACTAGAAGGAACCGCTGCAAGAAATGGAGCACATGAACAAGACATACATCAAGGTAAGTATACAAGTAAGACAGTGTTAGCCTCAGAGTGGCCTTCACCCTGAGCTCTTGGAGAGCTTCTGAGTTTTTGTTTTTTATTCTGGAGTGTCAAGAAAGGAGAGAAAGGGTGTGTCTGATGCAAATGTACTATTGTACAAATGAGCAGCTACAGTTCACTGCAAGAATTAATTCTCTAGACAAAAGAGATGATGAACCCCCACAGAAAAGACCTCACCTCGGCTTTCTCCGGCAAGATACTGCAGAGCAGGCAACACCAACTCAGCCCAGTTGGGGGCAGCAGAGAACCAGCTGTTGAGGGAGCTGGCTGGAGAAGACTGCCAGTCCAAAACCCGATCCTCCAGCTGAGGGAGAGGAAAAGAAGGAACCTTTGGGTTTCTCTTTACACCAACAATCCCAGGATGTGTCAGAGCAGCAGGGCATGTATATCGTTTGCCAAATTTCCAATGTACGTTAACTGAAACGATGTAGGAGGAGTCCAGCTGAGCTCCTCTTCCCAACAGTGCACGTCAGTTTGTCAAGGTGACACACGCCAGTCCTCTGGGGAAAGCACCTTCCTTGAGGGACAGCCTCCATCTGACTTCAGTGGGCAAGTCTGTGAGGCATTCTCTTGATTAACTGATATGGGAGGTCCCAGCCCATTATGGACAGCACCACACCTGAGCAGGTGGTCGTAGGTAATACAGGGGAAGTAAGCCACGGGAAGCAAGCCACGGGAAGCAAGCCAGTAAGTAGCATTCCTCCTTGTAACTACCTTGACTTCCCTTACTGATGGACTGGACTGTATGCTGAAATAAAGCCCTTTCTCTTTGAGTTGCTTGGTCCGTGATCTTTACCACAGCCACAGAAAGTAAGGAGAAGCAGAAACTAGAGACCCACACAAGAGCGTAGCAATTGCAAAACTTGAACACCTCTGAAACTCTTACCACAGGAAGGCTAGCTTGACCCTCCAGCAAGATTTCTAACAGAAGAGAGAAAAAACTGGAAAATAGCTCATTGATCCCGAGGCAAGGCTTGATGTCTTCCAGGGGCCTAACAAGAAGGGAAGAAAATGTAAGTGTTTGATGTCTGAGCCCCACACGCAAGGGTGCACCAACTATTCCAATCTGTCCTCTGACTTCCACATACACAACATAGGCATGCGTGCACACACACACTGTTACAAAGTGTTTTTTTTTCTTCTCCAATGTAGGAGAAATCAAAATGACCAAGAATACATGCCAGATTGGTTCAGGTCCTCTGAGCCTCCTTATAAGAAAAGAAAACATGTTACATTTTCCCAGCAAGATCCTGGGGCTCAGCACACACAGTCAGCTCACACAAGTCCCAAGCCTGGACGCAGTCTATACTTAACTCCCTCCTGCCCAGCACAGCCAGTTATCTCTGTGGCCCACTCACTCTTCCTTGATAGACGATATTGCCAGTGGAGAAGGGGCCTGTGAGAGAGCTGGGACCCCTTCAGTATTGCTTAGAGGCTCAGCCAGATCTTCTGCCTCGGATTTAATCAATTTTATTTTCTTCTTCTTTTCTTTTTCCTTCACCTTTTTTTTAAGAACAGCCAAATCATATAAGGCTAGGAAGGGGAAAAAAAACACAACTCATAAAACTGCATTATGGTGAGAAGTCTTTATCTGCATTTGCTTTCTCAAAGACTGTCAAAGACTCAATAATAAGACAATTAGATTTTTTTGAAAACCAATATGACTTTTAATTTTAACACCTAATGATATGCTGTGCTGATTTGGTCTGATTTCATTTTATTCGAGTATTCATGTGCATGGTACATGTGCACGTATATGCATGTTCATGTGCAATGGCATATGTATGTGCACATGAAGGCTAGAAGTTGACATGGAACATCTTCTTCAATCACTCTCCACTTTGATTACAGAAACAGGGTCTTTCTAGCCTACCTAGTTGACTTGCCCAGGAGATCCCCTCTTGGCCTCCAGAGTACTGGAGTCACAGCAGGCTGTGATACTTAGCCAGCTTTTACATGGGTGCTAGGATACAAACTCAGGTCCTCACACTTGCACAGCCAAGTACTGTATCCACTGAGCCCTCTCCCCACACCCTGCTGTGCTAATTTTACATTCAGAGGGCAATTACAAAACAAAGGAGGTCAGCATAAAGAAAGCTATGGTTCCACTTATTTTTGTCACATACAGACAGTATGTCATACAATAACATCATAAGGAATCTAAGAGGGGACCCATAGTCCTTTACCTGCTAGAGAGCCCTTCCTGCCAGCATTTACTCGAGTCATGATGTCACTGAGGGTCAGGTCCCCTGTCAAAAGGTCTGGGTGATCCTAGATACAACATCAGAGATCTGGTTATAGAGATCCAAAACAGAACCCCAAACTGATGGTGACTGTGCCAGTTTACCCAATGGATAGTGTTTCAGGGACACCTGAGGGAATCGTGCTGAATTAAAATATATAGAAACACCAACTACTGGTCTTCACAGTGGTGCACAGAAAAACCTGGCCCCTTTTCTGCTGTAGGGCAGCTGCAGTCCATAAAGCCCTTCTGCATTCTTTCCCATGCTCATAAAATGGTTTAAATACTATTATAGATTACAAGTCTGAAAATAAGATTCTGAAGACTCAAGAGGTCTGCTTGACATCTGTGTTAAGTGTTAATCTTCCTACTTCACCCCTCTGCCTCAGATGGCTGTCTCCTCCACTGCCATTTCTCCACCGTTTTGTGTCTTCAGTGAAATGACAATGGAGGCAACACAAAACAGAAGAGCACAAAGTTTGACTCTTGGCACTGCCATTTACTGGCTCTGCAGGACCAAGGATAAACTCAGCCTCTGGGAATGGGAGAGGAGATCATGATTCATTCACACACCAGTGTAACCACAAAGACTAAATGAAGCTCACACTGTCAACCATGCCTTACAAAGCCAAAGCACTTGACTGGCCTCTCATACCTCTGATGCTAAGTAGCCTCTCTTGCTGCTCCTGTCTCTGACTGCCACTGTCTCAGGACAGCCTAAAGCATCAGACTGAACATTACAAACGGCCACTCCCACCACAATCTTACTGGTTGATGTTTCCGCTTCTCATGGTGCTTCTTTAACATTATCTTCAGGTCACTGTCCCCCAGCTCTATTTTATCTGAAAGTAAATGAACCAAACCACATGGACCAGATCATTCACTACGATGATGCTCTAACTTAAATCTGCCTAGTCACTCAAGACATTCAAAAGGAAGCTACTTCTGATTCTGGGTACTATAAGCAGAGAGGTCTTCACAGTTCCAGGATCAGCATTCCATCATTTCTCTACACGTTGCCCAATAAGTGACTTCAATTAGGTAGCAGACCCATACACACACTCAGGAGGCTTGGCATTCTCCTACTTCCTATTTCAAATTCAAGTTCTTCTTTGTCTTTACAGCCTAGAGAGTTGCTATGGGTCTGGTTCTACATTCTACTGCTAGTTCAAGCAAGACTATTTTTTTTTTTAGCCCAAAATAGCAACTGATCAGCTCCTGTGGACAATTTCAAAATAAAGGAAAACAAGGAAGCCCACCTCTGGAAGGTAACAGTACAGCATGGCACCACACTTCTCCAAATCTCCCACTTCTAAGTAGCACTGCTATTTCCTGACAGGCAAGAATCTAGTCCCTACCTCCCTAAGGGGCTCTCACTTTTCTGTACCATGATGTCTTGAAACTGCAGTAGCATCAGCTCAGTTCTCACCTGCAGTTTTCATATCCGTAGTGGAAAGCGTGGGCACCACCCTCAGGGGCACCGCAGGACTAGGAGAACGTGCTGGAGAGCTTGGAAGCCATGAGCTGAGATCTTCAAAAGAAAATTTTTCTTGTAAATCCAACGTGGCTGTGGACTCCAATAGGGGAGATTGGGTAAGTGGCCATTTGGGTTCAACAGGACTAAGCCAACAACATGGAGGCCAGGGTTCCACATTCCTTTCTGACCCTTCCCCAGATGAGCTGGAGCACACTTAGGTCATTTAAACGGCTCTTCCAGGAGAGAGACTTCAACAGAGTGATGGGGTCGCATTGCAGCAGGCCAACAGTCACTACTACTCTCCTGTAAGGGGAAAAGCAGTTCTCTCAAGTGGCACAATGGGACCAGAGGAAAGGCCCTGTCCTGCAGGGATCTGTCCAAGATGTTCTCATCTAACCTAAGTGCCACATGAGCACAAGAGTAAAGAGTAAGTAGTCACTCTTATCACAATGTCTCCGCAACTCAACCACCAAGAGCTGATGAGTCCCACTCTCCACCCCCAAATGATAACTCAGAGGGCTCCTTTATTGAAAATACATGGCTACCACTGGCTCCAGTACCCTAGAATCCCAGAAGTACCCAAAGACACTCACCCTCTTCATCAGAGGACAGGGCAGTGTCACCACATTCCTCCTTCACTTCCCGCAAGACCTTCAAGTAACGCTGCTGGGTCCGCCACTCACGCTCTTCAGGGCTTCGGGATGGTGAATGGTGCTTGTGGCGAAAGGGAAGAGCAGGGCCACTCCTACGAGCCATCTCCAATAGATCCTATCAAGAGTCCAGAGAGGCCAGGTCATCAGCAAATCTTGCCCTCTGGACAGTCTCCAAGTTCGTGTTTTATTTTCTTTAATGTTAAAAAAAAAGAGCCTAATTCTCACTCCTCCAAACAAAGAAATAAATGATATGATTATGTATAAATAAAATGTACCTAAATTTCTTTGTTTGATCATCCATGATATAAAAAACAAATCTGAAATTTCCTGAGTACCAATACAATGCCACAAGCAGACTGAAGCTCAAGAAATATGCTGCAAATACTTTGCAAAAATCACCTTCAGTCTATATATATGAGCTTTGTGTCAAATCTAATTTTATTTACAACTATGTCTTAGCCCAAAAAATATATACAAGTATTCCAGACCTCTGAAAAAAATCTTAAATTCAAAACACTCCTGGTTGTAAGCACTTCAAGTAAGAAACACTTACCAGGCAGTGGTGACACACGTCTTTAATCCGAGCACTCCGGAGGCAGAGGCAGGCAGATCTCTGTGAGTTCTAGGCTAGCATAATCTGCAGAGCTAGTTCCAGAACAGCCAGGGCCACAAAAACACCCTGCTCCCCACCCCACCCCCCAAAAAAAACAATTTTGTTAAAGGAAAAAAAGACACACTCAACCTGAATTACATGACAAAAATAACCAATTTTAGTGTTGACCTGTTCCACTCAGAATTAATACTTATATTAAACATCCAGGTATTTCTATACTAAATCTCAAAGAACAATTCAAATTGTAATAGGTTACAGTAAGTAAAGACACTTGCCACCGAGCCTGACAAGTTTGTTCACTGGGACCTAAGTACATGACAGAAGAAAACAGACTCGCGTAAGTTGCCCTCTAAGCACCACACATGCTCTGTGGCACATGCACACCCACACAAATAAGGACACACTTGCACACAATTTAAGTAAATAAAAATGTAATCAAGTTAAGAACTCCTAATAACTCTGCCTCAGAGAATTATCAAACTAGAAGGGATCATGAGGCCATGAAATTCTGTTCTACATTTATGTGACAGAGTCAAAGCCAGCATGTATTTGTACATCAATTCCAAAAGCATCCTAGACAGCCTCAATAGCCAATGAGTCTGAGTCCCTTTGCTAATTCTAGGAAGAACTTTGTTTTTCATGTTTCAGCATCTCTGAAATCTAAACAACTGCTCATAAGAGGATAAGAGAAAGCCCAACTTCTGTTAATGGTTCTCTTGGTTTTTACATCATAACCACTACTTAAAGCTATGCTTGCCAGGTCACTGCCCATGCTGAAAACCTAGTTCTGAGCATTACTTACACTTCTGGAAGCAAGAATCTGTTTCAGCAGCCGATGGAAATACTGCTGTTGGGAGTTGAGATACCGCTTGTACTGTGACTTGAAGCAGAGCTGACGATACTTGACCACTTCAGGGTTAAAGTGTCCATCTTAAAAACACAGGTACAACTATAAATGCATCAATCCATACATATGTAATGAGTATACAAGAGATGTGGTTGTGGCACCAAAAAAAAAAATAAAAAATAAATAAATAGACTAAGAGAATCAAGAGAGAGACCCAAAAATAAATGAATGGTGAAAAACAATAATAGCTCCATTAAAGCTGGAAACCATAGCAACTACAGTAACACAATTATCTTCATTAAAACTAGAAATACATAGTCTCTAGTCAGAGAGATACACAGAAATCTGTCTCTTCCTCCATCACTTGTGTGTACACAATCATACTGTGTGGGGGATGCACAGCAGCACTGCCCACTTACAAAAGAGCCCTTATATAGCCCTCTAAATCCTGCCAGGGACCCTACTTTGTTTTGCATGAGGGAAGAGAGTTCCCTCCCACCAGAGATCTGAGCCATAGTAAAACAGACTGTTACCAACCAAAGGGAAAATTGTCTTTAAATTAATAACCATCAAAGAAGAAAACAGCTGTGTATAGTGGTATGCCTATCACCCTAGCCATTTGGAAGGCCAGGTAAGAGGATTATAAACCAGGGCTACTCTGGACAACAAAGTGAGGACTATCTCTTACAAAAATAAAGGAGGCTTTGGTCCAGGCAGTGGTGGTGTGTGCTTTTAATTCCAACACAGAGATGGGTGGATCTCTGTGAGTTCAAGGCCAGTCTGGTCTACAAAGCAAGAGCCAGAACAGGCTCCAACACTACAGAGAAACCCTGTCTCGAAAAACCAAACCAAACCAAACAAAAACCCACAAAAATAAAGGAGACTTGGGCTGCAGCTCAAGGGTAAACCATTTGCCTCGCGTGTGCATGTCAGAATTCAATCTCCAAAACCATTCATTAAAAAAAAAAAAATACAAACTTAATATCCACAAGAAAACAAGAGATTTGAAATGATAGGTCTGTTTACTCTAGCCTTTAGCGAATATCAAGTATTTCAGTTTAACATAAGTAAAGGAAATACCACTGCCCTTTCTGGCAAGTCTGCCAAAACGAAGTCAATTGAGAAACAAGGAAGAGGCTTCAGCTTTTCTCCATAGGTCAGAGAGCAAACTGTGAATCTAAGAGTGACTTCAAATTGTCTTGGAATACTTGAGGTAATAGCCAATTCAGGCAAAGATCACCACAATAGTTCCTGGCCAGCCAGGACTACATAGTAAGAGAGACCTTGCCCAAAATAAAAATTAAAATTAAAAAATTTTAAAAAAATAAAGAAAAAATGCAAGGAATATCTATGTTATTCATTCAGTGCAAATTTTCTTACAGTCAGCTAACAGGACTATGATTATGTGGGAGATGTCCTCTGTGAAAAGATACACATGCTAAGAGTGGTGGTGGCTGTGTGTGAAATTCCAGGGAGACTAAAGCAAAAGTACTGTCCTAAACACAAGGTCAGCCCAGGCTACACAGCAAAACCCCATTTTTAAAAGAGAAGGTGTACACGGTGGTGAGATGTCATGTTTTTCTGTAGGGAAAAGGGAAAAAAAAAGGAAACAGTAAGCTGGTTTCTTTTTTTTTTCCCCCAGATTTTAAAAATCAGTCATAAAGATCTTTGGGATGCTGACAATATTTTGTTTCTTTTCTAGCTCTCTTGGAACTAGCTCTTGTAGACCAGGCTGACTTCGAACTCAGATTCACCTACCTCTGCCTCCTGACTGCTGGGATTACAGGCGTGCACCACCACTGCCTGGCAATATTTTATTTCTTTTTTTTTTTTTTTTTTTTTTTTTTTTTTTTTTTTTTTTTTTTTGGTTTTTCGAGACAGGGTTTCTCTGTGGTTTTGGAGCCTGTCCTGGAACTAGCTCTTGTAGACCAGGCTGGTCTCGAACTCACAGAGATCCGCCTGCCTCTGCCTCCCGAGTGCTGGGATTAAAGGCGTGCGCCACCACCGCCCGGCTTGCAATATTTTATTTCTTATGATGGTTACATAGTTAAGTTCTATTATGTATTTCCTATCATAAATCAATACAATCATATTTTTTAAAAATAGCGTGGGGAGCAAACAAATACACAAAACCACTCTCCTCAGAGGTCACATTAGTATAGGAAAATCAAGATAAAAATGAAAGATATATGTGCCTAAGTGAATGTGTACTCAACTCTAACAAAAACAAAACACTGAGCTACAGACCTCGGAAAAGCTTCTGGGCAATATGAAGAGGGTTTCCAAAGCGGAAGTTCTCCCCACTGAACAGGGCAAGGATGAGCTCATTCTGCTGCTCCACATTGTCTGTGGAAAACTGAGGCAGAAACTGCTGGAGATGTTCACGCTGAGAATCACTTAGGACTTCCTGCCATGTAGAGAGGCTGACGACATCAAAGAATATCTCAGGCTAGGAGAATTTGGAGAAAAAGTAAGCAACAGATAAATAGGCATCTGATGTTTTGTGTCTGCGCAGCCAAATACATAGAGCATAAAACTTACCATTTTATCACTATTAGGTACACAGTTCAGGAGTTTTAGGTATATTCACATTTCTTATGTAGCCATCATTATGATCTTCAGTGTTTTTTTGTTTTTGTTTGTTTTTCAGTTTTACAAGACAGGGTTCCTCTGTAGCTTTGGAGCCTGTCCTGGAACTAGATCTTTTAGACCTGGCTGACCTCGAACTCACAGAGGATCCACTTGCCTCTGCCTCCCAAGTGCTGGGATTAAAGGTGTATGCCACCACCACCCGGCTATCCTCAAGTTTTGTTAAACAGACTAAAATTCTAATGATCTTGACTCAATTCTAAAAATCAGAGATTAACTGGTTATGGCAACACATACCTGTAATACTAGCACCTGGGAGGCTGAGGCAGGAGGACTATGAGTTTAAGTACAGTCTGGGCTGCATGGCAAGACTGAATCTCAAAACAAAATAAGAGTTTATTAAAAAGAGCACACAAACCACAATACAGCAGTATACTCCAGAGGAAAATTATATTCAAGAGAAGCCCATTTGGAAGCTATCTCTGCCAACTAGAGTATGATGGCAGCCATGTGAATTCAACTTAAACTAAGCTGCAAGAAAAAATTAGGAGGGGGATGTCTAAGAAGTGACTAAAAAAACTAAGAAAAAACAGAAAACAGAATTGACTTCAATTTTTTAATTAATATATATTTTATTTTACTTGGCTGACTGGAACTTGCTATATAGATCAAACTGGCTTTGAACTCAAAGGGATACATTGACTCTGCCTCCCAATGGCTGAGATTATAAGCAGGCACCAACTCCAGCATGGGTTTCACTTTTTTTTTTCTTTTTATTTGCATTTGTGTTTTGTCTGCATGTATGTATGAGGGTGTGAGATCGTGGAGTTACAGACAGTTGTTAGCTGCCATGTGGATGCTGGGAATTGAACCCAGGTCCTCTGGAAGAACAGTCAGTGCTCTTAACCGCTGAGCCATCTCTCCAGGCCCCAGTTTTCACTTTTAATTCACTCAATATATATTGGATATATATGTATCAAATAATAAGCATAACACACAGGTACAAAGTAATTCAAGAACAGTTAAAGTATACAGAAGTACACAGTTCAAGAAAGTCTACCTGAGATAATGTTAAGATAGTTAAAGGGATAGGAAAGAGGAAAAATACGCTGGAAAAAGAACAAGCCAGGTGGGTGGTAGTGGTGCACACCTTTAATCCCAGTACTCAGGAGGCAGGGGCAGGTGGATCTCTGTGAGTTGGAGGTCAGCCTCGTCTACAGAGCTAGTTCCAGAACAGCTAGGCCTGTTACACAGAGAGAGACCCTGTCTTGAAAAACAAAACAAGCGAACAAACAAAAAAACAGAGTTAGAACAATGCCATAGAAGCAAAAGAATTAACAGCAAAGAGTAATTATCAATTGAGGGAAATTGAAAGGTAATAAAGGTAAAACAGAGAAAAATACATAGGGCTTCAATGGCATTAATTCTGTACCACCCTAGATGGGATCTACATAGTTGAGCTACATAGTTTTGGGGGAGGTGGAACCTATTGTTTTTTGATGGTTTCATTTTAAGATGGTCCTGACCTAGTGAGCTCAGGTGATCTTTCAGCTTCAGCCCCTAAATATGTAAAAATACCAGTGAATGAATTTACTTACACCTACAGACATGCATGTCTTATCACTACTTTAAATATATACATAATATATAAATGTGCCTAAACACAGGTATTTGTTTATATACACTTATCTGTAATTTTTTTTATTTTTTAATTAACAACTTCAGACCATGTTTGGCTGAACCAAGGAGAAGAAAGGTGTGACAGCAGACAGAAGGGCACATAAGCCTGCTAAGTATTTGTGACTTTAACCTAAAACATGGAAATTTAAGCAAGAAGCTACAGGATAATTCAACCACCAAACACCCTTTCATGAATGTATCCATATCACCTTAGACTCACTATCTAATATCTTTCCCTCAAAACTCATTTTGCACTCAATTTTAGTTTTAGCATCTAACCATGTCTGGCATGAAATAAAGTAAGCATCTGATGATAGAATGGATGTCATAAAGAAATGTCCTTGAAAGAGTACACAAAGAAATTACAAATAATGGTTGGAGATGAAGTTCGTTTGGCAGAATGCTTGTTTCTGGGCTGGGGATATAGCTTAGTTGGCAGAATGATTGTTTACCAAGCACAAAGCCATGGGTTCTATCTCTAGTACCACATAACCCAAACATGGTGGTACCATCTATAATCCCAGTGCTTGTGAAATAAAGGGTCCCAAGTTCAAGGCCATCATCAGTTACTTGGTAAAGTCAAACCTAACCTAACCTGGGCTATGAGACCCTATGAGAAAGGGAGCGAGGGAGAAAGAGAGAGCATAAGAAAGCACTCTCTTAATAGTTGGTAGCCTCCTTACCAATGATGACTATACATCTGACCTGTGAAAGTCAAGGCATGCTGATGTTCTATCCCAAGCCACATATTACTCCTGACCAGGTTACCTACCTTATGGACATAGAGAAACCTGTGTTTGTTAACGATTCACAACAGGAAATCCATTTTTAGAGAAACATAATTCTGCTCTTAAAGTATTTAACCTTTTTTTCTTATTGGTGAAAATTATCTGTTATAATAGTGTTGATTTATATCATGCTATTATTTTGACTTGTTGATCAAACATGTAACTACAGTTTATACTGTCTTCCTTAATCAGAATACAAACTACACTATACTTTTAAAGGTAATAAGGGAACCCTTACTGAAATGAAGTAAACAAAAGGGAGCAAGAAAGGTGAGGTACAGAGGAAAAGGATTCAGAAGAGGTGGAGGGAAATGACTACAAAAATGTTATCACTCACATCCTCCAGAAGGTCTTCAGGCAGACTAACCCTGGTACCACCCAAAAGGCAGTCTTCCATGATCCGTGTACCATGGCCATCTCCACAGGGACCCAGTTCCAGGGGATCTGTCAGCATGTGATCCAAAGAATCCATTGTTTCTTCTCCCCAGGTATTCTACACAAAAGTATACACCTTGAGACAGAAAAGCAGAGATCTGGTTGAGGTAAATATTCAATCTCAAATCTCTAAGGCAGGGGAAGGGTCTCATTCTGCATCCCAAAATGGCCTGGAAATCACTATGTAGCCGGCTGGCCTCAACATGCACCAACCCTCCTGTGCCAGCACTAAGTATGACAGAGTGAGTAATCAACTCTCTTACACCCCATCCTCTCCTCGAGCCATGCTGCTCTCCTCCCTCCCTTTCAATAGCCCCTTTCCAACAATGTTCAAGCCTTACCCAGTAAGACTTTTCAAAATGCTTTTTTAACAGTTCCTAAATTCTTAAGTTTCTTACATTTTCATTTTTTAGAAGAAAAAGACTCAGGAATTGAGTGATAAACCAGACACGGTGAATCAAGAGCATAATCCCAGCATTTGGGAGGCTGAGGCAGGAGAATCACAAGTTCAGGCCAGCCTGGGGTATGACATGAGGCCGTACCAAAAAGCAATAAATAAATGACAGATCGTGGTCCATAACTACAAGTTCCAAGGTCAATAATCTATTAGAACATAATGTCTTTAGTAACTGGCAGGATACCCCAGAAGGTAAAAGTGTGTGCCACACAAATTGATGTCCTGGGTGTGATCCCTAGGTGCCACCACAAAGGAGGTAACTCCTGAAAGCTGTCCTCTGACCTTCACAGGAATGCTGTGACATATCTGCACACTTACATATCTACTTTTTTTTTTTATTTTTCGAGACAGGGTTTCTCAGTCTTAGCCATCCTGGAGCTAGCTCTGTAGACCATACTGGCCTCAAACTCAAAGAGGTCTGTCTACCTCTGTCTCCCAACTGCTGGGATTAAAGGCATGCACCACCAATGCACCCAACCAATGACAATATTTTTAGTGTAAGATTATTTTTAAAAAGTCATAAATTCCACAAACATTAGTAAAGCTCAGATGCTAACTTATATAAGCTATTTCTCGAGGATAAGGTGCCAGATCTCACATAATTTTTACAACTGTGCTTATTATACCTTTCTTACAGATACTGAGGCTCAACATATGGAAATAATTTGCCCAACTCCAAATGGACCTGCCTACAGATGGGAACATCACACACAATACCCACTATACCTCTAGCATATACTCTCAATTAAATTATAAAAACTGCTTGACATGATTTCATTTGCCCACATAAATTCCCGCGGCACCAATCACCAGACCGTTACAACTAGCTGTCAGTGGTCAATCTAATCTTCAGATCCATGTAAATTAATGCAATTCTCCTCTTTCCTGCACTAACTCAACAGGGCTGGCTACCCTTTTTAGAAAACTAAATACAAGAAAGAACATGTTTAGAGAGCATCTTCCCAAAGCTAGAATCAGGTGTGAAACCGAGGCCACAGCTCACAAAGGGCCAACCCACAGTAAACGCACCCTATAGGGATTGGATCCATTCTCTTACCCGCTACTACCAACAAAAAGACCAAAAAGCATACAAAAATGGAAAGATGAACTGTATTTAATCAAAACACCAGATTTCTACCCTTGTGCTGTCATTAATCTGGGGCATCTTACCTCGCCGGGTGTCAGGCTCCTTTCCTATAGGTAGATGGGAGTTGAACTGGGGGCCTCCCTACCATTATTTCCACTCTTGGGATCTTACAGTGAAGAATCGGCCGCTAAATGAATTTACATAACTTTGAAAATCCTTCCCACTTCCCAAGTTCTCAAACGATAACGTGCAGGCCTGTGATCGACCTAGAATGGAAGTACTTTTCCGCGAAATGATTTCAAGTTCTGACAACATTTCAGACGGAAGGATACAGTGTTACAAGGACGCAGCTGTGTGGTCCCCGGGCAACTGTGTGATCCCAACATCTTCAGCACGCTACGAGATGAAGGGCATCCTGAATGCATGTGGCGGCTAAATAACTGAGAAAGGAACAAGATAGGGGGAGGAAAAAGTAGAAGCAACCTGATGCTTGGAACTAAATCCGCTTAACACAAGTGGCATAGACCAACCTACAAAGTCAGTACCCCATCTGACAGGTGCACAGTTTACACAACTCACTCATAAGCTTCTTCCAGTGCCGACGGTTGGTTACGCTAAACGTAGGACCTAGTGACAACTTCAGCCTTGTCACTTATTCCGCACAAGAACTCAAAATCAGAAACGCAGGCGGCTACCTGCGAGCTGGAACCCCGGAAGCCGTGGACTTTTAAGTCTTGGGGTGTCCGGGACTTCCTCGCTCATCAGGAAGGCCTCCTCCCTGCACCTGGGCTAGCCTACCCTCCAGACCCTCGCGAGGCGCCGGCAGGCCAGGCGATCTCGCTCGCTCGGGCCGGAGTCCCCGGTTACCAGCCCCACCTGCGCGCAGCGCGCCGCGGCCCCGCCCTTCCCCCACCCGTCCTCACCCTAACCCTCGCCCACCCGGCTGCCGCAGGCCCACGCGTGGGGCTCGCCGCGTGCCTACGGGGACGGGGATCTCGAAGTCCCCCTTCTTCCCTCCGCTCCGCTTCTTCCCTTCACCCGGCACCGTCCGACTCCCGACGCCAGGGCTCGCCCTCACCTCAGTCGGGTCCGCGGGTCTCCCCCGCTGGCTCGTCCGGCCGCGGGCTCCGGGACGCGCTCGCTCCCGCAAAGGCGTCTGCGTGCGCGCACGCTCAGGGCTCCGGCAGCGGAAGGGGCGGGACCTGTGGGGCGTAACCTAAACGGCGGGGCGGGGCGTAGTGAGCGGGGCGGGCTGGGGTGGATCTCTGTGACTGAGTCTGAACAGCTCCGGTGTCCCGTACGTCCCTTCCACGTCTTTCATCCTTTCCACCCTTTCACGGGCTGCTAAAGCAGAGCACAGCATGATCAGGAGCCGTGCTAACCACTTGTTGTGTGACAGAATTTGTCCTAGGAGACGCAACGCACGTCTGCTCACCACAGGGATTCCATGCCACCACAGTCCAACTTGACGAACCAATGAGTGTTATTAGGGTTACTTGCAGGAGTATGAGTGAGGGGGCTACTTATAGAATCAGAAATGACTCAAAGACAGCTGCCTCACCAAGGCCCACCCCAGCATGCGTGACAGCTCACAAAAGCAGGGAACCTGGGACACACTGCATAGCCTGCAGGCAGCTCACCAGGCTGGAGAATGCCCTTTCCAGCTGCCTCAGTTGCTCTAAGCCTCTTCCAGGTGAGCTCAGCTGGTTTCTGCTTCTTTCAGGCGGCTGGTCTGGTCTAGAGTCTTTGCAGCTCCTTCCATCTCGGAGTCCTCTTTGCAGCTCAGCCTCCTTCCACCTGTGGGGGTCTCTCAGCTTTATCGTTTGCTCTGGTGGAGAGGAGCCTAAAGAATTTGGTCCGTTTCAGGGACTTCCTGAAGCTAAGAACTACCCTGCAGGAGGAGAAAACTCTTAACAGCAACACTGCTCTCTGCAGAAGGCTTTGCTGAGGCCACCGGACAATGGAGGAACTCTTGCAGTATTGAAGGCTGGCCAAGTAGAACGCCCACCCTAGCTGGAGAAGCACAAACCTGGAAAACCGTACTCTTCTCACTCATTATCACTGCTTCTCTTGACCAACTGAGTCTTATTTAGAAACAGCATCTTCTCCAGTACCCCCCAGCTTCGCTCTCTAGTCCTGTATAAACTACCCACAGTTCTTTTTATGACAGTAGACATGTCAGAGGAGCAGGACATGCCATGCTAATGCCCTTCCCGCAATGGAAAATAGTGCTTTTCAAATATAGCTAAATCTTTGTGCCCCTACTGGCTCCACAGATATTCATAGATTCTTTTAGAGTTAGAAACCAAGTATGAACTGATGAGCTATGAAATGTACGTAGGAATGAAATGAGCACTAGGAAAACCAAGTATGAAGCATCGTTCTGCGTGACCAGACAGGACAGCAGCAATACATTACCATTTTCGTCCAACTTTATTTTTAGAGCAGTTTTAGGATTACTGCAAAATTTAATGAAGAATAGGTTTGCCACAAATTCCCTGCCCCTGCCCACACACACATGCACATAATCTTCACCCACACAGGTGAGATACTTTTTCTTATAACTGATGAATCTATGCTGATGAATCTGAGTGATAATTGTTTCACTGCCCACCCCCCCAAATTAATCTATTTTAATTAATAATTTAAAATTTAAATTAATCTTTTCCCCACCTACTCATCTCTACTTCTCTATTTCCGGCATCCACTGATCTTTTAAGTGCCTCCATCATTTTGCCTTTAAGCCTGCCATCCTCCTCCCTTAGACGTCCTAGTAGTGCTAAAAGCACTTTGTGTCACCACTCTTCTCCGTCCAATGAGACAGTAATAATATGGTTTTGGTTTCGGTGGTGGGGATCGGATGTAGGCACCCTGCCTCTGAGCCACACCCAAAGCCTTATATTGTTTTGATATTAATTTGAAGTTCCCTGGTGATAACAAACATGGAGAGTATTTTCATATGTTCATTTGTTATTTGTATTTGTATATTCTTTGCTAAGGTGCCTTTGGGCCATTTTTTCACTAGGGTTGTTTGTTTCTTTTCTCTTTTTTTTTTTGAGTTTATGTTCCTTGTCTATTTTGGATAACAATCCTTTATCAGACAAATCATCTGAAAACATTTTTGCTGGGTCTGACTCTCCATCTCTTGCTCTCACTCTCTCGAATTCTGTCTTGGTGGTAAACACCCTTAAACTGTGTTCTGTTTGGTTTTTCTTTGTTTGTTTTGTGCCATGAGCCATGTGACTTCTTTATGGGACAAGGCCTGAGAATAACACAAATTCTTGTAATTTATGTTTTATTTTACAGTACGAACATGGGGCCTTGTACATACTAGGCAAGTGTTCTACTCAGTATTTACTATGAGAACCTGATGAGCTCATGAAACATAAAACCCCTTCCTTCCCCAATGTTTTGATGATCTCCTGGAATTTTTGATAGTATGTGTGTCTGTCTTTGTGTGTATGGGCATGTGCACAGAACAGGTGTCCGAGGAGACCAAAGGTATCAGATCCCCAGAGCTCCAGTAACAAGTGGTTATGAGTCACCCAACATGGAGTTTACCTTTGCAAGAGCCTTCCAACCCTGCCTTGGAGTTTTTTTTCTCTCAGATTTCTCCATACTGAGCCTCCAATCATTCATCTTAGTTATGTTTTCCTATTCCAACTGGCCTTGGTTCCCTTAGAGGGTTCTACTCTTAAGGATGGGATTTTCTTTTCTTTTTTGTTTGTTTGTTTTTTGAGACAGGATTTCTCTGCAGCTTTGGTGTCTGTCCTGGAACTAGCTCTTGTAGACGAGGCTGGCCTCGAGCCCACAGAGATCCGCCTGCCTCTGCCTCCCGAGTACTAGGATTAAGGTCATGCGCCACCACTGCCCGGCTAGTTCAAAGTTCCTGAATGGCAGATTAGGAATCAGAAACTAAAGGGTAATATTTTGAAGAAGGGAATGTTAAGACAGGGTTTCACTCTGTAGCTTAGACTAACCTAGAACTCACTATGCAGACCAGAATGGCTTGTGCCTATGGGTGCAATATTTAAAAGAAACTATTTAACCATATCAGTAGTCCCTGCACACACACACTCACACACACACAAACAAGAAACATAATTATTAAAAAAATATTTATTAATTTTTACACTTGCTGGGTAGCACAAGACTATTAACACTATAACTCACTGAATATACAATTAAATGTTCACATTTAAATAACAGGATAGAATCAATACTTTCAACCAATGGGCCAGCTTCAACATCTCATTAGGTGTTTTTTAGCTCTTGATGTTTTGAGATTTTTTTTTTTGAAAGGACAATTCCAGGTCAGAAAATAACTCAAGAACATCAAAACAGAAAGTCTTTCCAGAAAAACAGGAATCTTACATGATGAACTATCCATTTTTCTGGGCACAAACTAAACAATAAAAATGTTAAAAATCTATATCCGACCCACTTCACACTGTACTGAATGCAGTCTACAGTGTCACAGAATCTGAGGAAAGATCACCATGTAGACACTGGAACACTGACCGTTCAGGCGGTCAGAAGGAGTATACTCTGCCATCCCTTCTGATACCTTGGGATAATTCATAAAATACCTGATCTTAAAGTGGTGATGTCTTCACTGCCACCCACATCTCTGGTTGATGATATAGTTATGGTATTTATTCCATATAAGAACCAAAAAAAGAAAAAAATAGAAGGGAAAAAGACAAAGTCCTTCAACAGTATTTTTCTTCTGTGTATTTTAAAACTTAAAAAATAACTAACACAAAACCAACATTCCTTCAGTGATTGGCTTTTTATTTTAATCACTGGGCTATTCCTGAAAGTGGGGAAGATACCTTGCTGGCTCAAATTAAAGGGAATCCAACAGGCCAAAATTATTTGCTTATTTATTTTGGTTTGTTTTTGTTTTCCAAGACAGAGTTTCTCTGTATAGCTCTGGCTGTCTTTGAACTCTTTGTAGACCAGAGTGGCCTCCAAATCAGAGATGTACCTGCCTTTGTCTCCTGTGCTGGAATTAAAGGTGTGCACCACCATGCCAGCTCTAACAGCCCAATTTAAATTACAGAAACTAGAACTGTGCCTTTGAGATGGCTGAGACTCTGCAATAGTTAGCTATTACACTACAGGACTTTGGGAACCAGAGTCTTACGTTCTTGTGACTTGGATAACATTTTATGTTGAAAATAGTTACCTTTTTGTTCATTTTCAGTTTCCACACATTTTTGAGGTAATTTTCTCAAGTTCTTTTCATGCCCAAATCTTCAGACATAAGTCTATGAATGAGATCTCAAAAGAAAAGTGCAGAATCTACATAATAGTGACTTCAAAACCAAATGTTTACTTTTCAGGAAGGCATCTTTACCACACAGGAGATAGTCTATTTCTTAATTCACAGACCCAGTTTTTCCTCAGAAATGTAAATAAAATAAATTACTTAACTTCATTTGAAATGAACTTAGGTCTTCCTGATCTGGAGTGGTAAATTCACTCTACAATAATTATTTTTAAAATGGATGTCACAAAGAGTTGTTAAAATACAAGCTTTTAAGATGTCTTCTGGGTACAACTGGAATGTGCAGTACAAAAAAGGGCAGTACTTCCCCACTGGATCCACAGCAAACAAGACTCCAAACAGGACACACAGAAGACAACTATCACACAGAAAACTGCTTTCCTCTCCCAACCAGTGTTAATTCTCCTCCACACCCATCCTTTATCTCATTATTACAATGGTCCCCTTATTTTTATTTGCCATAAGTGGGAAGTTGGTCATCTTATAACAAGATCTGGGTGAATTACAATATGCTTAAAGTTTAAAAAGCTTAGGAATAAGAAAGACCACCTTTCTACCCAAATTCAAAGACTCTTCATTTTTAAGACAGTACTGGAAGTACTAAAATACATTCAATGATGTGAACACAAGTGTGATGCAGGGACTAGCACTGTAGCTCAATGTTGGGGAACCTGCCTAACATGCAAGAGGCCCTGGGTTTTGGTTCGCAGCATCACACACAAAGTGTTATACATACACCTGATGAACCCAGTAGGAGTAAGGAAGTCAGCCTTT